TCCAGAGTCACAGGTCGCTCTGGAGCAGTGTCCATCAACTTTGTCGATTCTGCAGATACAAGCCGGTGGTATCCTCCACCCAACCCCGACCGAGAGTTGACAGGTGCCCGTGCTTTTTGCACACCCTGGGGAAAGTCCCCGGGTCACGCGGTTGTGTGTGTGGGGGGCGGCCGTGACGCGCACACGCGGCCCCACGCTTCCGCCTACAGTCACGACCGCCGGCCGCGCCGGCGCCCGGAGCGCGGGCCGACCCCCGCCCGGCCTCTCCGGCAGGCGGGCGGGCAGGCGCGCGCGCACGTACGCACGCACGCACTCCGCGGCGCCCCTCGCGGCCCCGCGGCCGGGCGCAGGGTCACGTGGGCCCAGCGCCCGGGCGGCCGGCGCGGGAAGCCGCGCGAGAGCGGGCCGCGGCGGTGCGTGAGCTGGCGCCACCGCGTGCCTTGCGTGGCGCGGGAGCCCGCCCCTCCCGCACGGCGGAGCCGGCCCGCCGGCGCGGCGGCGTCTGGGTAAGCGACGCGGCCCTGCCCCTGCCCCTGCCCCTGCCCCTGCCCCTGCCCCTGCGGGCCGCCCCGGGGCTCAGGCCGTCCCGCCGCGAGCCAGCGGGGGCGGCCTGCGAGCCGCGCGGGTCGCGGGACGGTGCGAGGAGCCGGGGCGAGAGGGGGTGCTCGGGGTCCGTTTGAGATGCCTGCCGGGGGCCGAGCAAGGCCGGAGTCGCCCCTCGCCGCCCGCGCGGGAGGCCGGGGCCGCGGGGCTGACCTTTCCTGGGCCGCGAGGACGCTGCGGCCGCCGCCCCTCCCCCGCCCACCGCACAGGAAGCTGCCCCCACGCCATCGCTGGTCTCGCCCTGAAGCCGGCCCAGCGCTTCTTTCTGAAGCGGGTCGGCTTCCCCCCGCCGCTTTGCCTGGCACGCGTGGCTGTCAGTAGCTGCTCAGGCGACCCCACGGCCGCCCGCGCCCGCGGGCGAGGGCTCCCGTTTGGCCGGCTTTTTTCCGGAGCCGCGAGTCCGTTTGGCCGAGGTGGTGTTTCTCCCGCGGGATTCCCACTTCGGAGTTGAGAGGGGGCGTGTGGAAAATCCGGGTTGTCCCCGTGGTTTTGCAGACGAAGGCCCCTGCGGGATGGAGGGGCCGCTGCGCGCTGCCTGGTCCTAGACTCGGCCACGCCAGTTACCCCACTCCGCGCCGGGGTGGCGTCTGCCGGAGGATCACTGGGCTTGGGAAGTCAGCCGTGGTCCCTGCGTGCTGGCCTTGGCCTTCGCATACTCATAGCATCCGTGTCCAGGCGGGAGGTGCTTGAGAGCCTGAAGCCCCTTCCCCTACCCCCGCCCTCCCCAGATTCAGCCCGATTCGCTGCCAGAATAACGTTTGCAGTGTAGTTTAATTCCTTAGGATAAAGGCTTGGAAGCTGTCTTTTGCAATCTGGATATGTGTTTGCTTGAAAGAGTTACAGAGAGAGAGTGCTTCCATCCGCTGGTTCATTCCCCAAACGGCCACAACGGCCAGGCTGAAGCCAGGAGCTTCTTCCGGGTCTCTCACATGGGTGCAGGCGCCCCAGGACTCGGGCCACCTGCTGCTGCTCTCCCAGGCACATTAGCCAGGAGCTGGATGAGAAGTGGAGCAGCCGGGACTCGAACCTGCACCCACGATGGGATGCTGGTGTCGCAGGTGGCGGCTTTGCCTGTCAGCCACAACGCTGGCCCCTGTGGATGTGGATGTGTTTAAATTGAGGGTACATTAGGAATCGGTTGTCAGGCATCACCGGGGATAGGTTAGATCTGAGGACTGGGCGTAGTCGGAATGCAGTGAAACATCAAGCTGGGGTGAGCTAGGAAGCAGGGAGGGGCCCCACGTGACCTGCCCTATCTTTTTTTGCCCAGATCTACCCGGAATGTCTGGTTTGGTGGTAGTGGAGGTGGATCCAGTTTGGCTGCTGTTCATTGAGTACCTACTATGAGCCACTGGTGATTTCTAATTCTTCCCAAAACGGAGGTGGTCCTGTGTCCGTGGTCAGACGTGTAAGCAGCGGGAAGAGACAAGCCGAGAGGGATTTACCTGGCTGCAGTGCGGCAGGCGTTAGCAGCAGAGTTTAAGACAAGATCACTTATCTCCCGAGTCCAGCCAGCACTGGCTTGCAGTGTATCTCGCTCCCACTTGAAGCCGGGAAGGGGGATGAGAGAATCGCCTGTGGCTGATTTATTGGCGCCTGTGGTTGCCCAGAGAGGCCAGGCAGGACTTTGAGCTGCCCTCTCTGCTTTAGAAAGTGCAGCTGTGCGCTTCCACCCTATCTCCTGAGGGGAATGCGAAGGAGCCAGGCTGTCTAGCAGGGGAGGAGGGGCCCAGCGCCTTGGCCAGGGCTGTGCTGGGAAGTGTTGCATAATGCCCACCCCACCACTGAACCAGAGTGATTTATTTCCTATGGGCCTGTGGGTGGTGCTCCACCAGCCTGTCCCTTTCAGTAATAATAGGGCCAGAGGAGAGTTGGGGGTTGTAGGTTGCAGCTCCCCCACCCCCACCCCACACACACACACTCGTTTTAAAGAAGCAGCGCAGGTGCTTTTGTGCTGGTAAGTTATAAAGGACACCACTTCTGTGCCCCCTCTTCTGATTTCTTCCAAATGGCTTGAGTCTCAGTCATTGGAGAGGAGGCTAAGGAAAATGCTGGTGCAGCATATAGTTGGCAGCACAGACTGTGGAGTCAGATCTGGTTGTTTATACCTTTTGCTAGTGGTGTGTCCTAACCCTAGATATCTTTTTCTCGTCTGGAAAATGGAAACGGAAATAATCCGCTCATCTGAGGCTTCCAGGGATAAGGGATGGAGAGCGCCTAGGCAAGGTCTTGCGTGTGGTATTTACTGTTGTAGGCACTAGCAGCTACTGAGAGTAACCAGGGTGGTGGTACTTTCCCTGGGAAAGGAAACCGCAGTGCTGGTTGAACCTGCTTAGGGAGAGTGGGAACAGACCTTAGTTTGAGGATTATTGGTTGAATTTCTTTACACTCCTGCCTTTCCTTTGCTAGCAGGAATTTTTTTTTGTTTGTGGGGAGCAATCCGGACTGGACTAAGTTACTGAAATTAAGACTTATTCTATGCATCTGCTCTCCCACAATATGGCGCTGGGAGAGAAGTAAACAGCTTCCGCACAGCTGCCTCCAGTTCAGCTAATAAACTGTAGGACTTGCTCCTGATTGGAGAGCAGCGTACTCGGCGTGTGGGCAGCCGAGTTAGGATTGGCGGAGGAGGACTATAAAGGAGGAGAGAGACGGCATGCACCGGGAACATCTATGGGGAACATCTAAGGGAACCCGTGCAGCCCCCGAGAGAACCGGCCGGCGGTGTGCCGCTCCCCTGCGGAAGTGGGGAATGTGGCCAGGGGGAACTGCCCTTCCACGGAGGTGGAAGGGATAGTAGCCAACCCGGGAAGAACCAGCAGCAAACCCGGGGAGGGCCGAGCGGACGAAAGAACAGCGCAGGGTCCTGTGTTGCTCCTCCACGAAGAGGGGGAGCGACATTGTTTTCCCCCTGAGCTAGGGTGGTGGGGTGTGTGGATAAGTGTGTATAGTGGTAAGGCAGTTATTTGTGAAATTTTTCTAACTTCCCCGGTTTCAAACAGTCATGTGTGGATTCTGAAAAACTAGGCACTTTGAGAAAGGATTTCTTTCGTTTATGAGGGCAGTGTGTTCAAGGGACTGGAGTTCTGTGGCAGAGGGAGGGGGTCTTGGTTCCCTTGAGTTCAGAAGTTACAGTCACCGTTTGTGTTGTATTCTGGGTCTGGACTAACATCGTTGTCCTTTGCAGCTTTCTCCTGTCCTGTGGGTACCTTTTTTTTTTTTTTTTCCTGTTAGAAATACAGTCTTCATCTTTTTTTTTCAGTTAACAAAAAAGCTTTCCCCTTTCTTCACCAAGTCCTGACTTATTTTATTTATTTATTTATTTTTAGGATCCACCAGCCAGCTGCACTCACCTTCATTCACGTTCTTGTTTGCCTGGTGCTGTGGGTTTATCAGGCTCCCCACAGTGTCGGTTAGGTGGGTGTTAGAGGTACAGGAGGCCTCAAACTGACGCGGCCCTGTTCCATTAACGATTCCTGGAGCCAGACTGCTCTTCCTGGCTCATCCACCACATTTTCTGTGGATTTTCACAGGCAGATGTCTGGATCAATGGTAGATTTTACCTCCAACTGTATATTCAGATTTGGAATTTCTATATCATTTTTAAGTATTAACAAAAATTTATGTTATTTAACAAAAACATATTTACTGTAAATATTTCTCCTTTTTTTCTTTAAAGATTTGTTTATTTATTTGAAAGAGTTACAAAGAGAGAGAGAGAGAGATCGAGATTGAGGTCTTTGATTCGCTGGTTAACTCCCCAGGTGGCCACAGTGGCCAAGGCTGGAGCAGTCAGAAGCCAGGAGCTTCATCCGGGTCTCTCACATGGGTGGCAGGGGGCCACGCACTTGGACCATCTCCTGGCTGCTTTCTCAAGCTCATTGGCGGGGAGCTGGATTAGGAGTGGAGCGGCTGGGACTCCAACCAGTACCCCTGTGGGATGCTGCTGTCCCACGTGGCAGCTTTACTCACTGCATCACCACACTGCCCCTAAAAAACTGAAAATGCGTGTTCCTCCCACCCCCACCCATGCCTAGCCCCACTAGTTTAGGAGTTCTTCCTTCCTCCCTCCTTCCCTCCTTTTCTTTCTCTCTCTCTCTCTCTCCCCCCCCTTCCTCCCTCCTTCTCTCTCTATCTCTCTTTCTTTCTTTCTTTTCATTTGAAAGACAGAGTTAGGTCTTCCATCTGCTGGTTCACTCCCCAGATGGCCACAATGGCTGGAGCTGCACCAATCTGAAGCCAGGAACCAGGAGCTTCTTCTGGCTCTCTCACATGGGTGCAGGGGCCCAAGGACTTGGGCCGTCTTCGACTGCCATCCCAGGCCATAGCAGGGAGCTGGATTGGCAGAGCAGCAGCCAGGACTCAAACCAGCACCCATATGGGATGCTGGCGCTTCAGGCCAGGGCTTTAACCCACTGCACCACAGCGCCAGCTCCCAAAGAGTACTTTGTTAATCTGGCCATTTTTTAGTTTAAGCTTACAAGTAGAAATGCAGTTGTTGACATTTGTTTATTTAATGTAATCAATATTGTTCCCACACTTTGCATGCTTCTTGTGAAATTGCTTCTTTAGTGACAGTGGTGTAAAGTTGTTCCATCTTACTGAGTCGGAGCTAGTCTAGAGTTACTGTAATCTGGAGAGTATGTAGGTTTTTGTAGTCTCTTAAATACCCATGTAACTTTACGGTGAAATAGTCTCTTGGGTTCCCTTGGTTCTTTGTTCTTCTGTGGCAGCAGTTTGTAATGGAGCCATCATGCTAGAATCACCTGGGGACGTTTTTAAATACAATACTCAGGCTCTGAGTGCAGCATTGCGTGGCAGGTGAAGCTGCGGCTTGCGATGCAGGCATCCCATATGGGCGCTGGTTTGCGTCCTGGCTGCTCCACTTCCTGTCCAGCTCCCTGCTAATGCACCTGGGAAAGCCAATGAAAGAGGGCCCAAGTGTTTGGGCCCCTGCCACCCATGTAGGAGGCCCGGATGAAGCTCCTGGCTCCTGACTTTGGCCTGGCCCAGCCCTAGCCTTAGTGGCCATCTGGAGAATGAACCAGCAGATGGAAGATTTTCTCTCGTCTCTCTCCCTCTCACTGTACCTCTGACTTTCAAATAAATAAATAATTTAAAAATAATAACGCACAGATTGGTGCCTCATTCCCATGGGTTCTGTCTGGGTTAGTCTGGGGAGGGACGCAGACATCAGCACAGCTCTCCGCAGAAGGTGTCACAGTGGAGCTGGCACCGAGAATCGCTGCTCCAGGATAAAACGATTTCCACATTCCTTCATTCTCTACGTGATCAGATAGCCTGCCTCCACAGTCGCGGGGAAGTACCTTGGACAAGTTTAAATTCATTGTGATCATGTGGCACTCGGTGTATTTTGCTTTTACCTTTATGTTTATAGCCATGAGTTAAGTAGCTCAAAAAAACGGTACATATTTCTCTGCTAGCTCTCCGTCTCCTGTCTTAATTATAGTTCATCATAAAGTCTCAAGGGTGGGGACCTACTGAGAAGGAAAGGTTGTTTATTTTCCTGCAAAACAGATGTCTTGATTCTTTTGTTTTTTTCTTTTTTAATGTGTTTTTTGAAATCCGTGCATATTTCATAATATCCATGAACTTTTTTTTTAAATTTATTTATTTGAGAGGTAGAGCTACAGACAGAGAGAGGGAGAGAGAGAGAGAAAGGTCTTCCATCTGCTGGTTCACTCCCCAGTTGGCTGTAGCAGCTGGAGCTGGGCCGATCCAAAGCCAGGAGCTTCTCCTGGGTCTCCCACGTAGGTGCAGGGGCCTAGGGACTTGGGCCATCTTCTGCTTTCTCAGGCCATAGCAGAGAGCTGGATCAGAAGTGGAGCAGTTGGACTCAAACCAGGGCCCATGTGGGATGCCGGCACCACAGGCAGAGGTGTAGCCTGCTAGGCCACAGCGCCGGCCCCTGTTTTTTTTCTTAAGGGTTCCTACAGCCTGAGAGAGTGATGAGCTTTGTAGTTCAGTATATCATTCTGGCTACCGAGGGCCTAGTCTAACTGATACAATACATTTTTAAAGGAAAATAAAAGATATTGAATGTCAAGCCAATTTTGAATTAAACAAGTGTAGATACTGGTAAAGTTGTTCATCTCACTTTGAATTAAAACAGTTTAGAAAGTAAGATTTTTCTTCTCTCATATAAGTGTCAATGTTAAACCTTTTGTTATAATACAAATATCACTTTGATAATAGATTTTGTTTTTAAATGTAGCATCCTAACATTTGGTTCTTGTTTTTGTAAATAAAATGATAAATTATTTTTCTGAACCCTTTTCACATCTGAAAATTCACACCAAAAATTCTCAGATGTAACTTCTAAAATATTTCTGTCTGTATGGGAAACTCTGGATATGCCATATCCTAGAGAAAATCAAATTGATGATCAAAGAAATGATGTGACTGGGCAGGGCGGAAGGCATACAACCTAGTTAAGATGCCACTTGGGACAGCTGTATTCCATAGCAGAGGGCCGAACTCTGCTCCCAAGTCCAGCTTCCTGCTGGTGCACACCAGGGAGGCAGCAGCTGACGGCTCCGGTAATTGGGTCTCTCCCACCTACGCGGGAGACCTGGGTTGAGTTCCCAGTGCCTGGCCCAGCTCCAGCTGTTACAGGCATTAGGGGAGTAAACCAGCCAATAGGAGCTTTCTCTCTGTCTCTGTCCATCTCTCTAGTAAACAAAATATACCCATATTTTTAATAGGAAACCATAAGCAAAGGCTGTATAAGAAGCCTATCAAGTTGCAAAGTAGGTTGTATTAGAAAGTTTTCTAATAACTTTGCAATGGATTAGAGCTATTGACTCAAGGTAAAGTTTGAGTATATTGCCGTAAAACATCAGAAGTCTCCTGTTAATACAAACAAGTTTGAATGAACCTGCTATATGTTTGTTTTTTTTTTTTTTTTTAACAGATCTGAAGTTGTTTCACTTTGTAAGCTTGGAAAACTTTACCCCTTTTTTTGAGTCAGCATTTTTGCAAGAACTGTCAGTATATGCTTATCTGTTCAGAGTTCTAGATGGGAATTTTGAAAGGGAAGACACTTGGTTGAAAGTCAGACTTGCAGCACTACCTCACTATGTAATGGTAGTTGCCTGTGTTGGGTACCTCTCCTGCCTTCTCTGAGCTGTGGTTCCTCAACCTCGCATAGAACTAATAGTCTCCTCTCTACTATGTCATAGGATCAGAAAGTCAGTGATTGTCAAAATGTGGTTGAAGGCGCCCCTGGAGGTTCCTGGAACCCTTTGCGAGGATCTGCAGAATCTGACAAGGCCAAATTCTCAGTGTACGTGAACCAGCACATCAAATGCAGAAGCAGAGAAGAATCCAGCTGTATTTTTAAAGCCAAATATTAAAAAAGATTGTAGAGTACGAAAGTGTCACTCTCTTCACTTGTTTTTGATGTTTTAGAAAAAAGTTAATATGAAATGCGTTTTTAACCATTATTTTAAATTAATATTTTTTATATTCTTTTAATTTTTTTAAGGATTACAGAGACAGAGATCTTCCATCCACTCATTTACTCCCCATATGTCTGCAATGGCCAGGATTGGGCCAGGCCAGAACCAGGAGCTTCATCCAGATCTCCCATGTGGGTGGCAGGGGTCCAAACACTTGGACTGTCTTCCGCTGCTTTTCCCAGGCCATCAACAGGGAGTTGAATCAGAAGTGGAGCAACCAGGACTTGAATTGGTGCCCATATGGGATGCTGGCATTTCAGGCAGTGTTTTTACCTGCTATGCCACAACGCTGGCCCAAATGTCTTTTTTTTAAAAAAGATTGTATTTATGTAAAGTCTTTGATGTGGGCCTGTGCTGTGGCGTAGCAGTGCTGGCATCCCATATGGGTACCAGTTTGGGTCCCAGCTGCTCTACTTCCTATCCACCTCCCTGCTAATGCTCCTGAAAAAACAGCAGAAGATGCCCCAAGTACTTGGGGTCCTACATCCACGTGGGAAACCCGGAAGAAGCTCTTGGCTCCTGGCTTCAAGTCGGCCCAGTTCCATCCGCTGCAGCCATTTGGGGAGTGAACCAGTAGATGGAAGCACTCTGTCTCTGTCTCTCTCTCTCTCTCTCTCTCTCTAACTTTGCCTTTCAAATAAAAATAAATAAATATACTTTTTTTTAAAAAGTCTTTTAAAGAGTTACAGAGAGAGAGGGAGACACAGGATCTTCCCTATGCAGGTTTACTCCCCAAATGGCTGCAATGGCCAGGCTGGCCAAGCCAAAGCCAAGAGCCTGGAACTTCATCCAGGTCTCCCACATGGATGCAGAGGCCCACACACTTAGGTCATCTTCTGCTACTTTTCCAGGTGCGTTAACAGGGAGCCAGATTGGAAGTGGAGCAGCCGGGACTGGAACTCGTGCCCATATGGGATGTTGGTGTCGTAGGCAGCAGCTTAGTCTGCTAGGCCACAGTGCCTGTCCCTAATTTTTAATATGGTGAATATTGATAAGCATTATCTATATAAACAACAGCTCTTCATAATCCTCAACACTTATTTTGAGAGTATCAGTGAATCCTGAGACCAAAGCTTTTAGAACTGCTGGATAAAGGATATTGGCTGAGTGGTTTCCTGTTGAGACAGTACTGCAGATAGAAATTGTAGGCTCAAAAAAATTTAAAAATTACCAGATGACATATGAGAGTCATAGAGACTGGAAGAGGGGCATGAAGGACCCAGCTGAATGCACGAGAGGATGGCTGAAACCAGGGTAACAGCCTCTAATCTTGTTTGAAAAAAGGGGCCAAAGCTCCATGCAACCACATGGCTGGAAAGTGTAGCAGGAAACCCCAGAAAGGACGCTGGGCTGCTGGCCCCCAGTACCGTGTATCAACTTTGCTGGGCTTGCTTGCCAACCCCTGGGCTACTCACGTGTAGCGCAGCCTCCAAACAGCACGCTTAAGGCTGCAAAAACTGAACAGAGATTGCAGCTGCTACCCACCATAGAGAGGCAGAACTTGGAGTCTAATGCCAGCCAAGCTGTCTGCAAAGACTTGCACACTCTCTGGAGAGGTATTGTAGAATCCAGAGTTTATTGCATGTGTATTGATCACACTATCATACTTTCTAGGATGTAATCCAAAATGACTAGCTACGGGAAAAACAAAACCAAACCAGGACGCTGACACCCTAATCAATGGAGATGGTGTGTACCGGGCCCCCGGGGTGGATTTAGCGCATAAGACAGAGCGGCTCTTAGAGGGAAAGCAGAGTGGGATGGTGATGTGTGAACAGATAGGAAGCCTCAGCAGAGAGACAGAAACTTCAAAAAGAAGGAGAATTTTAGACCTGAAAACAACTATCTAAAATGTAAAACTGTGAATAGGTTTGACGGATTAGAAAAGACGGAGGCGTTGAATTTGACGATTGATTGATAGAAATTATGTCGTCAGAAGCCGTGGAAAGAAATGGGTGTGTGTGAGAGTTCTCTGAAAGCCTCACTCCTCCATGTGTCAGGTTCATGACTCCGGGTTTCCTTCTAGGCCTGCGCTCACCTCCGCCCTTTGCAAGTGAACTGACTTCCTGGCCTGCCAGCCAGTGCCACCTGTAAGAGCTTGCACGTCCTCACCTCAGTCCTCTTGTCGCCACAGCTAGTTGCCACACTGGTACTTGTCTCAGTCCTGGCTTCATGGAGAGACTGCTCCTGTCAGTGTGAAGGGCTTCCTGGGGTCTCTGTGCCCACCCTTGGTAGCCTCTGCCTCCAACATCCCCTCCGTGGGGTAGTTTGCCCTCGCTGCTTCCCTGCGCTGCGCTGGCCTCACTTGGGGACAGTATCCGGGTCCTTGCGCCGTGGCCACCGCCTGCCTTCTGAACCCTTGCCTTCCCTCACCTCCTTTGCCCTCCTCACTGACAGCGACGCTTCCTTGTTTCGCATCTTCTGCCATATTGTGCCTCTTCTGTGTGTCCCCAGGGTTCATTCTTAACTTTTTCCCCTTTTATTTCTCTCTACTTTATAGTCCCCTTACCAGCTGGTCATTTCGGCCCTGTCACTTCAGAGGCCTGCTCTCCCTCTTGCCCTTGCGCTCTCTGTGGCCCAGTCCTCCTTATTGTCTCCTCTGATCACTAAACATTCCTACCAGGACGTCCTGGGGCAGGCACCATGAACACCCATGTCCAGAAGCTCCTCTTACCAACCCAGTTTTGTTTTTTAAGATGCACTCATTTATTTACTTGAAAGAGTGATGAGCAAAGACAAAAATGTCTTCCATCTACAGGTTCACTTCCCAAATGCCTGCGGCAACCAGGGCTGGGCCAAGCTGAAGCCAGGAGCCTGGAACTCCATCCAGAGCCCCCGACGGATGGCAGGGAACCCAAGTACTTGGGCTGTCGTGGGCTGTCTTCATAGGTGCGTTAGCAGGGAGCTGGATCAGAAGTGGAGCAGCCGGGGCTGGTGGCATGACTCAGTGGGTTGAGCTGCTGCCTGTAACGCCAGCAACCCATATGAGCGTTGCTTCCAATCCAGCTCCCTGATAATGTGCCTGGGAAAGCAGAGGAAGATGGCCCAAGTGCCTGGGCCCCTGCCAATCAAATGGGAGGCTCCAGATGGAGTCCCTGGCCTCTGCCTGGTGGGGATTTGGGTAGTGAACCAGCAGATAGAAGATCTCTCTCTCTCTCTCCCTCTCTTGCTGTCACTCTGCCTTTCAAGTAAATAAAATAAATCTTAATAAATAAAGTGGAGGAGCCAGGACTAGACAGGCACTTGGATATGGGATTGGGCATCCCAAGTGGTGGCGTAACCCACCAAGCCAGTTTTGAATGCCTCACCCCTGGCATTTGGGGATTTTGCCTTTATAGCAACACCTAGCACATAGCTGTTACTCTGCAAATATGATCTGAAGGAATGGATGAATTACTCCAGTTACCCACGCTGGGATTCTGAGACTCACCTTTGACTAATCTCTGTGGCTGACCACTTCCAGACTGTTACGTTACAAGTCATGTCATCTCTGTCTGGTCTGTCCCTTGCATTCCTTCTTTCATTCCCACTGCTGTTACTTGGATATTATGGTAGGATCTTACCCATTCTTTCCTTCTCTATTCTTTTCACTTGCTCATTCTTTTTATGTGTTCTTGCTAAAGCAGTCTTTTAATTGATTTGAAAAATGAGAGTGAAATCTTCCATCTGCTGTTTCACTCCCCAAGCCCCAACAGCTGAAGTTGGGTCAGGCTGAAGGAGGGAGCCTGGAACTCCCTCTGGGTCTCCCATGTCGCTGGCAGGAACCCAGCCTGAGCCTTCACATACTGCCTTGCAGGATGCACATTAGCAGGAAGCTGGGTCAGAAGCAGACCCAGGACCAAGTGTAGGGACTCTAATGTGGGATGTGAGTGTAGCAAGCAGCAGCTTAACCAGTGCACCAAACGCCCACCCCTGCTGAAGTAACCTTGACCCACAAACCTAACAGTGGTGATAACTGGGATTTATTGAACACTTAATATGGACCTCACTACTTGTAAGTGCTTATACATGTTATTAAATACACATAAAACCTATGAAGTAGATGCTATTATCCTGTCTTACAAATGAAACCAAAGGCCAGAGAGTTAATAGGTAGTAAATGACAGAGCTAGAATTTTATACTGAGTCCAGAGTCCAAGCTTTAACTGCGATTCTGCCTTACACCAAATATGTAACTAATCAGGCTGTTCTTACTCAAACATCCTAGATGGCTCATTTCAAACACAACTTGGGTTATCTTTTTTCTTTAAGTTTTATTTATTTGAAAGTCAGAGTTACACAGAGAGAGGAGAGGCAGAGAGAGAAGAGGTCTTCCATCCAATGGTTTACTCCCAAATTGGCTGCAACGGCCAGAGCTGCGCCGATCCGCAGCCAGGAGCCAGGAACTTCTTCCGGGTCTCCCACGCGGGTGCAGGGGCCCAAGGACTTGGGCCATCTTCTGCTTTCCCAGGCCATAGCAGAGAGCTGGATGGGAAGTGGAACAGCTGGGTCTAGAACCGGTGACCTTATGGGATGCCGGCACTTTAGGCCAGGGCGTTAACCCAGTGCGCCACAGCGGCGGCCCCAGGTATCTTTTTTTAAAAGAGAATTATTAGCACTACCATACACTGGCTCACTCCTCAAATGCCTGTGCTTGAGACCAGCCAGGCCAAAGCTGGGAGCTGAGAACTCGATTTAGGGTCTTCCTGAATGGGTGGCAGGAACCCAATGACTGGAGCTATCACCTGCTGCCTCCCAAGTCTACACTGGCAGGAAGCTGGAGGCAGGAGGCAGGTGTCAAACCCCCAAGTACTGTGATGTGGGATGCAGGCATGTTAACCCGCAGGCCAACACCCGCACCGAGCGGACCATTTAGTCTTAGGTTTAGCGTCGACTGTGAGCGGACCCCGTTTCTCCTTAACTCCTCATGCATCTGGTTTCCTACCCCTCCCAGTAGTTTTCCTCATTCGGTTTCTCTTGTTTGTTCATGTAAGTTCAAGTGCCCTGGTTTCCATTGGGTCACCTGAAGTCATCTCCCCTTGTACAGCGAGTGTGCTTACGGCACCTCACCGCTCCTACGTCCCTCGTGATGGCTGCTCTGTGCTTTGTCTCCCCGTGTGAGCCTGCACTCCTCCCGAGTACCGCATCTGTGTCTCTTCTTGCTGCTTCATGCCTCGTACAATCATGCTTTCAAGTATTTTTCTTTATGAAATTTCCCTTCGAAAGATCTCTGTTATTAAATAAGCAAAGAATTTGACTATTGCTCATAGACCATTAACCACGAGATTTCTCTATGTGGTTTATTAGCATGCCATTTCTCATTTCTATATTGTCCAGTAGCTCATTATACTAATGCACTATATATAATAAGAAGAAATAATGAATGCAAATGTCTATGATCTGTGGGTTTGGGGTTTTTTTTCTTTTTTTTTTTTTTTTTTTTGAGCCTATGTAAGATTAGTTTAAGTTACTTCGATTGGAGCCATTTCATTGATTTTTTTTTTTTTTTTGACAGGCAGAGTGGACAGTGAGAGAGAGACAGAGAGAAAGGTCTTCCTTTTGCCGTTTGTTCTCCCTCCAATGGCCGCTGCGGCCAGCGCACTGCGGCCGGTGCATCGCACTGATCTGAAGGCAGGAACTGGGTGCCTCTCCTGGTCTCCCATGCAGGTGCAGGGCCCAAGCACTTGGGCCATCCTCCACTGCACTCCCGGGCCACAGCAGAGAGCTGGACTGGAAGAGGCGACTGGGACTAGAACCCGGTGTGCCAGCACTGCAAGGCAGAGGATTAGCCTAGTGAGCCGTGGTGCCGGCCCATTGATTTTTAAATGTGTGTTTTTCCCATGTTGAAATTCCCACATTAGTTTTTAATTTAATCGCCCTGATTTTTAATTTGAAATTGTTTTTGATGAAGAATTGTAGGTATCTATGAGGTACAGTGTGACATTTCAACACCTGGATACAATGTATCCTGATAAAATCACAATAATCAACATTGTCCCTTCTTTGACATTGTTTTATAATTAAGGAATCGGAGTGCCTCTCTGCTCATGTGAGTGTCATTAATGGTTTTTTAGATTCAGGGATATGTGGTAAATACAATAAGTAGTGACTTTTGATTAAATGACTTCTTGGGACAATACTCACACTTTGGGTTTGGGGTATATTTTAATATATATAAAGTCTCTGTAGCTTCTGTTATTTCATTGTTCCTTGAAGTCTTTTTTTAAAAGATTTTATCTATTTGACAGGTAGAGTTACAGAAAGTGAGAGGGAGAGAGAGAGAGAGAGAGAGAAAGGGAAGTCTTTTAAAAATGAGACAGTAAGGGGTAAGTTGTTTTGTTTTTTTTTTAATTTGGGGAGATATGAAGGAAGTGTGTTTGAATAAGTAGGCTTTAAAAGTATTGCGTGCATAGGCCAGCGCTGCAGCTCCATAGGCTGATCCTCCGCCTGCGGCGCCAGCACACCGGGTTCTAGTCCCGGTCGGGGCGCCGGATTCTGTCCCGGTTGCCCCTCTTCCAGGCCAGCTCTCTGCTGTGGCCTGGGAGTGCAGTGGAGGATGGCCCAAGTGCTTGGGCCCTGCACCCCATGGGAGACCAGGAGAAGCACCTGGCTCCTGCCTTCGGATCAGCGCAGTGTGCCGGCCGTGGCGGCCATTGGAGGGTGAACCAACGGCAAATGGAGGACCTTTCTCTCTGTCTGTCTCTCTCACTGTCCACTCTGCCTGTCAAAAAAAGTATTGTGTGCATCTAGAGTTAAAAGAATCAAGTTGCAGGGGCTGGCGCTGTGGCATAGTGGGTAAAGCCGCTGCCTGCAGTGCCGACATCCCATATGAGCACTGGTTCAAGTCCCAGCTGCTCCACTTCCAATCCAGCTCTCTGTTACGGCCTGGGAAAGCAGTAGAAGATGGCCCTTCACCCTCATGGGAGACGCGGAAGAAGCTCCCAGCTCCTGGCTTCAGATCAGCTTAGCTCTGGCTGTTGTGGTCATTTGGGAAGTGTACCAGCGGATGGAAGACCTTTCTTTCTGGCTCTACCTCTGTCTTTGAAATAAATAAAATAAATCTCAACAAAAGGAATCAAGTTGCAAGATTGCTAGAGCACAATATTATTTATGTGAAATTTTAAAACATAAAGAAATCTTTACTGCACTGTTAAGGAACACATACCTAAATGGTAAGACAGTGAGGATGTATGAGAGACTTGCGAACACCAAATTCGGCATGGTCAGTACTCTGGTGTGGGCAGGATGAGGGAGAGATGTGGGGGTCTCTGTCCTATCCGGAATGTGTATGTTCTGTGCTGGTTGGTGGGCATTTGTTATGTTCTCCATACCAACTTCCCTATCTGAAACGTTCTATAATTTAAAAAAATAAGGGGGGGGGACAGTGTGGAGATTAAACCTCTAAGTTTGTTTAGCTCCCACGGTGGAGTTCTCCACTCATCCTTGACCCCCCCCCTCAGTTTCCCTCTCAGAAGTGAGCGTTTTACTGGTTTCTTTGAACCTTTCCAGCAGGAATATATTTACACAGAAATTCTCGAGCCACCCTTAAAAGTGAAGTAACCAGTGTGGGCATTTGGCAAAGCAGTTAAGACACCACGTGCCCTGTCCTAGCACCTGGATTCTGGTCCCAGAGCGTCTTGCTAATGAACACCCTGGGAGGCAACAGGTGATGGCCCACGGAGTGGGTCCCTACCACCCACATGGGAGACCCTGATTGAGTTCTGGGCGCCTGGCTTTGGCCTGGCCCAGCCCTGGCTGTTGTGTGCATTTGAAGAGTGAACACGCGAATAAGAAATGTCTGTCTCTCTCTCGTCTCTCAAGATGTCTCTCCATCTCCTCTTCCCCCTTGAAATAAAGTGAAAATACCTAAACACAATTTTTGAAAGATAACCACTTAGCTTCTTTTACATAAATGGTACTCTTCTCCCTACCCTTTTACACTGTACCTTTTGTACTTGCTAATATGTTCTGGAGACGACTACACAGCAGTACGTTAAATTTGTAGTTTTCATAAAAACTACCTTTTATCATTACTAATTCTCATCCTTGTTAGTAGTTACCTTCCAGACTTTATCTGCTAACATGCTTACAGGTTGGTTTGCCGCATGGGGTTTGCTTAACCAGCAGGAAATCAAGTTTCTCCCGAGTGCCAGGCTTCCCAGGGTGCCTTCATGGGCTAACTCTCCCTGGCCTGTCTGCTCCAGCCTTGGGAGAGGGGGAGGAAGGCAGTGAGGGCGGGCTGAGTTCCTGCCGCCGGCCAGCAGTGTGACCGTGGGTACATTACCTAGCTGCCCTTGCTGATCCCTCTTCTTCTGGCAGAGGCACTCGGTAGAGCCCCTGCCTGTGGAGCTGCATGGAGAACGAGCGAAACACACCTGCCCGACGGGACGCACCATCCCGTGTAGCTGTTTTTATTAGGCCACCCGTTACGCCGCGGCCGTGCCCCCTCGCCTGGTAGACCTTGGTCTCTGACCGCCCGCTCAGAACCTGCGCCCCAGGGGAGCCCTTTCCGCCGCGCTGCCTTCTCCCGCAAGCGCCGGCGCAGTGGGCGGAGGAGGTGGTGGCGCGCAGCCCAGGGCCACGGCGCCCGGAGTTTTGTTTCTCCTCCTCGTGCGTTGTCTTTGCCGCCTGCTCAAACAGTGATGAACAATTTCATTTAAATTCAGGTCTCCGCGCCACTCTGCAGGGATGTAGGAACTGTAGCTAATTACACACACACACACATATACATTGTATGTAGCTACCCGCATGCACACGTACACTCACCTACTCACGTTGTCCCTCTTCTCAGAGCCACGATGGACACTGCTGGCCATAGCCTCGTGCTCCTCCAGCAGCTGAACATGCAGCGGGAGTTCGGTTTCCTGTGTGACTGCACCGTTGCTATTGGAGACGTGTACTTCAAAGCCCACAGAGCCGTGCTGGCTGCCTTCTCTAACTACTTCAAGATGATATTCATTCACCAGACGAGGTGAGGAGGGGACTGTGTGTGTCAGAACGACTTTTAGTGTTAAATGTATGCCTTGTTAGGATGCTATTTTGGGTGTTCGTTATGAGGATACCCTAAGAAATAAGACAGTTCATAATGCTTTTAATCAAGCTCAATAGGTAGGGTTCATGATGGAAGACAAGAGGGAAAACGGTAATGGCTAACATTTATCGAAGGCTTATCCCATACCCAAACACTTAAGTATTAACCCTTAATTAACAATTAATTATAATGTAAATTCTGTCGTCCTGTTCTAGAGAAAAGGAAACAGACCGAGTTGTTGCATAAGTTGCCCATCCAGGGTTGTACAGCTAATAGCTGGATTCAAATGAAGCTAAGGATCTGTGCCCTTACTCATTAAGTTGTTGATTTCCATTGCATTAGCATTTGGTAGCAAGGCCTCAGTGTCATAATTCACATTATAGTTCAAAGGCCTTTGGATATTTTTCTCCAAAGAGTTATTTTGCCCTTTTGAATTTGGGTTATCCTAACATAATAGGTGTGTAGGGAGAGAGCAGAACAGTGCTACTCAGACTCTGAGTTTTTAGTAAAGAGTAATTTTAGCCTGTCCAAAATTGCAAGTGATGGAGCACTCGGGTTTTTCCTTCAGGGTCCAGCTTCCGTGATACATGTTTGTTTAATTGTTCATTCGTTCAGATCCTAACTAAGAACTTAGGTGAGAGGTGCTGAGCTAGGCCCCGGGAACACCCCCTGCCCCCCAGAAGTTTGCAGTCGGGTAGAGGGCATCCGTAACTGCCCCGCGGCCTCCTTGTCTGTAAAGGACCGCAGCAGCATCCTCCCCCTTTGGATGCAGAGAAGGTTAAATGGATCGATGATGGGAAGACGCTCAGAGCTCTGCAGTGTTGGCTGCTGTTGTTGGCGTGGTGAGTCTGCTGCTGAATGGCACACAGGGTAGGCCAGCGTCTCCGGTAGCTCTGATGGAGGTCCTCAGAGCATCCACGAAGGGGCTGGCATTCAGCCTAGTGGCCAAGACACTGCTTCAGAAGCCCGCCTCGGGAGGCATGTGGCACAGCAGTTAAGATGCCACTGGTGGGGTGGCATAGAGGCAAAGTCACCACCCGCAGTGCCGGCTTCCCACATGGAAGAGTCCCAGCCGCTCTTCTTCTGATCCAGCTCTCTGCTATGGCCTGGGAAAGCAGTAGAGGATGGCCCAAGTCCTTGGGTCCCTGCACCCATGTGGGAGACCTGGAAGATGTTCCTGGCTCCTGGCTTCAGATTGGCTTGGCTCCGACCATTGCAACCATTTGGGGAGAGAACCAGTGGATGGAAGACCGACCTCCCCCAACCCCCGCCTCTGTAACTCTGCCTTTCAAATAAATAAATACATCTTAAAAAGGAAAGGTGCCACTTGGGACCCCCACACTCCATATCAGAGTGCCTGGGTTCAAGTCCCTGCTCAGCTCCTGATTGCAGCTTCCTGCTAATGTGCACCCTGGGAGGCAGCAGGTGATGGCTCAAGGACTTGGGTCTTTGCTACCCATGTGGGAGACCCGGATTGAGTTGCTGGCTCCTGGCTTCAGTTTGCCCCAGCTCCAACTATTGCAGGACGTTTGAAAAGTGAACCAGTAGATGGAAGATCTTTGTCAAAGTCTTTCTGCCTTTCACTAAATAAAAGTCAATTAAAGAAGAGTACACATCCCACATCAGAATATCAGAATACCTTGGTTTGATTCTTGGCTCTGGCTCCTAATTCTAGCTTCTAATGCAGACCCCTGGGAGGCAGTGGCGATGGCTCAGGTAACTGGATCCCTGCCAACCTGGATTGAGTCCCTGGCTCCTGACTTTAGCCTTGGCCCGGGCACATTGCAGGAATTTGGGGAGTGAGCCAGCATACTCTCTCCCTGTCCATCTGTGTGTGACTCTACTTCTCAAATAAGTGAATAGATAAATAATTCATGAAAAATGCATATTTTAATAGCTGCAAGGATCTCAAGGGTTTTTTGCAGCAAAATAAACCTATGTTTTAATTCCATTTTCTCATAAGTTTTTTGAAGTACCCCCATATTTTGGAAGCCAAAATAAAGTTAGCATAATTTAATTTTTTTAATAATTTTTATTTATTTTATTTTTTTATTTATTTTTGACAGGCAGAGTGGACAGTGAGAGAGAGAGACAGAGAGAAAGGTCTTCCTTTGCCGTTGGTTCACCCTCCAATGGCCGCCGTGGCCGGTGCGCTGCAGCCAGCGCACCGCGCTGATCCGATGGCAGGAGCCAGGTACTTATCCTGGTCTCCCATGGGGTGCAGGGCCCAAGCACTTGGGCCATCCTCCACTGCACTCCCTGGCCACAGCAGAGAGCTGGCCTGGAAGAGGGGCACCAGGACAGAACCGGTGCCCCGACCGGGACTAGACCCCGATGTGCCCGCGCCGCAAGGCAAAGGATTAGCCTAGTGAGCCGCGGCGCCAGCCTAATTTTTAAATATTACTAATTTCATTAGACTCTTTCCAATTTTGAAATATTTGTAATGTACTTATGTATGTGTGTGTGGTGTGTGCATAAGATTTCCCATCATAACAGTTGTCCTAGTTTAGCGGCAGTGATCATATTCCCAGTGTGTGCAGTCACTCCCACTGCCTGCTTCCAGAACCTTTTCATCACCCTAAATGGAAACTCTGTCCCCTTAAGTCCATTAAGTCTCAAGTTTTCATTTCCATGAATATTTCAGTGAAATTGACACAGGTGCACTAAACTATGTTGGAAATCATAACTTAGAGCTTATATATCCTTTACTGTCCTTAAGAATGAAAACAGATTGTCCTTTATCTGGCACGTGGGACATACGTATCTTTTACAGGTATAGGCGCTGCACTACAAGTAGCACATTGGGCACTGACAGCATCTTCTCATACTCTACACGGCATACCAAGAAGTGACTTTCATGACTGCCCCTGCACCTGTGTGGGAGACCCAGATGAAGCTCCTAGCTCCTGGCTTCAGCCTGGCCCAGCTGTGGCTGTTGCAGCCATTTGAGGAGTGAACCAGCAGATGGAAGATCTCTCTCTCTCTCCGTCTGTCTGTCTGTAACTCTGCCTCTCAAATTTAAAAAAGAAAAAAAAAAAAAGAACACCTGAAACATACTTAATTCAAAGTTACCATAAGTGGTATATTTATTGTTTAATTCCAGTTTTTATCGTCCTATATGAAACATCCCCTGCCCTATAACCTCTGATCTTTCTATGGATTTGCCTGTTTTGGCAAATTTGAGGTAAATTATACAATAATTGTCCATTTGTGTCTAGCTTATTTTACTCAGCATAGTATTTTCAGGGTTCATCCATGTTGTAGCATGTGTCAGAACATCATTCGTTCTTTTCTGTAGCCGATTAATAGTCCATTTTGTTTATTTTTTAAAATATTTATTTACTTGAAAGGCACAGTTAGAGAGGGAGAGGCAGAGAGAGCGAAAAAGAGATATTCCATCTACTGTTTCACACCCAAAGTGGCCAAAACAGCCAAGGCTGGGCCATAACAAAACCAAGAGCTTCTTTCAGGTCTCCCACGTGGGTGCACGGAGCAAGGACTTGGGCCATCTTTCATTGCTTTTCCAGGCCACAGCAGGGAGCTGGATTGGAAGCAAAATAGACAAGACTCAAACCTGCACCCATATGGGATATTAGCACCACAGGCAGTGGCTTTACCCACCACACCACAATGCCAGTCTATTTTATGTTTTTAAAAGGATTTATTTATTTATTTGAAAGAGAGAGAGAGATCTTCCATCTGCTGCTCTGGTTCACTCCCCAGATGGTCATAATGGCCACGGCTGGGCCAGGCCAAAGCCAGGAGCTAGGAGGTTCTTCCGGGTCTCCCACATGAGTAGCAGGGGCCCAAGCACTTGGGCCATCTTCCACTGCTTTTCCAGACCATTAACAGGCAGCTGAATTGGAAGAGGAGCAACTGGGACTCGAACTGGCGCCCATATGAGATACCGGTGGTGAGGGCAGCAGTTTTACCTGCTGCGCCACAACCCTGGGCCCTTCCATTGTATTTATATGCCACATTTTGTTTATTCATTCGTCTTTTGATGGACACTTAGGTTTCCATTATTGTGGCTACTGTGGATAATAAAGCTGCAGTAAACATTGACCTACAGATATCTGTTTCAGTCCCTGTTGTTCTTTTGGTTATAGATATATTAAGTAAATGCTTACATTTTTCAAGTGCAGGGTACCTTTTTTGTTTAAACTTGATGAAGGTGAGTTGTGTTTTATTTGTTTATGTATTTGAGAGGTAGAGTTAGAGAGAGAGAGAGAGAGAGAGAGAGAGAGAGAAAGGTCTTCCACCACTGGTTCACCCCACAAATGGCTGCAACAGCTGGAGCTGAGCCATCCAAAGCCAGGAGCTTCTTCTGGGTCTCCCACGTGGGTGCAGGGACCCAAGCACTTGGGTGATCTTCCACTGCTTTCCCAGGCCACAGCAGAGAGCTGGATTGGAAGTGGAGCTGCTGGGACAGGAACCGGTGCCCATATGGGATGCTGGCGCTGCAGGCAGATGCTTCGTCTCCTAGCGCTGGCCCCACAGTACCTGTTTATCATCATTCTTCTGTAGTATATAGAGTGCGTATCACTTCGGAGTCCCTGGGTGAATGTTGAAATAATCACAATATCCGTGTTCTACTTCAGACAGTAGATCAAAGACACGGCCGCAGAGACTGGTGTAAAATGAGTGTTAAGTTTTTGTTGCGGTGTTTCATCGAGGCAGGCGAAATGTGAACTCCATGGGCAGAAACTGCTTTAGCCTGGGGTTGTGCTGTTAACTACACGGCTGGCCACACTGTTCCATCTGTCGTTTTCTGACAGCGAATGCATAAAAATCCAGCCGACGGACATCCAGCCCGACATCTTCAGCTACCTGCTGCACATCATGTACACGGGCAAGGGCCCGCGGCAGAGCGTGGACCACGGGCGGCTGGAAGAGGGCATCCGGTTCCTGCACGCGGACTACCTGTCGCACCTCGCCACGGCCATGAACCAGGCGTTCTCACCGGAGGCCGTGCAGTCCTCCAACCTGTACGGCATCCAGATCTCAACGACCCAGAAACCAGCCGCGAAGCCAGGGCTGCAGGCGGCCCAGGCCCCTTCCGGCAGCGGCGCGGGCAGGGCGGCGACGCAGGGCGACCACGCCCAGCTGCAGCTGTCCCTGGCCATTGGGCTGGACGAGGGCGCCGCCGACGTGCAGGGCGCCCACCGCGCGGCACAGGCCGGCCCCGAGCTCCAGAGGCCGCCGGCGGCCGTCAAGCAGGAGCGGGGTGACCCGGAGGCCGTGCCCGCGCAGGGCCAGCGCCCGCCCTCCGCAGAGGCGGCGGGCCCGGCTCTTCCAGAGAGCAGCAGCCGGGCGCACGCGTGCCACTACTGCGGGGAACGCTTCGACGCCCGCGGTAGCCTCCGCCAGCACCTGCACACCCACGTGTCCGGGGCGCTGCCGTTCGGGGTGCCGGCGTCCATCCTGGAGAGCAATGACCTGGGCGAGGTGCACCCGCTGCAGGACAGCCGCGCGGCCCTGGCGCGCCGCCGGCTCAGCGCCCTGGGCGGCCAGGAGGGTGGGCGGCAGCAGCCCGGGCCCGCGGCCCGCGGCCCCGCCGAGCCTCTGCAGATCAGCCAGGTGGCCTTGATCTCCAAAGACGCGGAGCCGGTGGAGCTCAACTGCAACTTCTCCTTCTCCAGGAAGAGGAAAGTGGGCTGCGCCGTGTGCGGCCACAAGTTCCTCCGGCGGAGCCAGCTGCTGGAGCACGCGTGCGCGCACAGAGGCAGGCCGCACAGGCACGGCGGTTGCCCCCGGCTGGCCAGCGCGCTGGCCCAGAGCTTCCCGACGTTCTGCGACAGCTGGTCCGACGTCGCCCTGAAGGGGCCCCGCCTGCCCCAGGAACACCTGGATCTGCCTTGTGCCTTGGAGTCGGAGCTCACGCAGGACAGTGTGGACGCCATCCTGGTGGAGTAGCAGCTTCTGGAAAAGGAAGCGTCGTCCTGCTCTGTTACTGTCCTCCCAAGTCCCCTTGGCTTTTGTCCTTCACAGTCGAGCCATCATTTGAAGGTTGCGTATACCAGGTCCTCTAAGACATGAACATGTGGCTGTGAAAATGTAAGCTCCACTTAGCGCTGTCAACAATCGTAAATTATATCACCCTTTAGAAAACAGAGGTCAGTGCAGAAACAGGCAGACCTGAGAGTGAACAGTTGCTCATAGAATTTCTAGTTTTTTTCTAGAATTAGTAAAATGGAATGGAATAGGAAGTAAATGAAATAGGTTTTAAAGACTGTCCTGAGCTATCACTTTTGGATTGTTTCACATGAGGTCAGTCCCCATGAGGATCATTCTAAAATAGTCTCTGCCACACAGAACAGTTAATTGTTTTGTTTTTTTTTTTTTTAAAGATTATTTATTTGAAAGAGTTACAGAGGGAGGGAGAGACAGAAACACCTTCCATCTGCTGGTTCACTTCCGGATGGCTGCATCGGCCAGGTCTGAGCCAGGCTGGAGCCAGGAGCAGGAGTTCTTCCAGGTCTTGCATGTGGATACGGGGCCCAAACACTTGGGCCATCGTCTACCACTTTCCCATGCCATTAGCAGGGAGCTGGATCGGAAGTGGAGCAGCCAGGACTTGAACCAGCGCCCATATGGGATGCCAGCGTTGCAAGCGTTGACTTTTCCTGTTTTGCCACAGTGCCATCTCCAATAGTTTTTTAATGCATAACTATATATTATAGTGTATAAAAATTGTTTTTAAGATATAGCTATACCAAATCATGAGTAGTTTTAAAAATTACTTTTTACTTACTAGCTCTGCAACATTACCCATGTCTTTTATCTATTTTTTTACACATTGAATATACCTCATTGTTAACGAAAACTGTTTCAGTTAGAAGAGAGAATGGGAAGAGGCAGGCATCAATGCACCTGCAACAGAAAGGTGCGTAAACGTGGACAAGCACATCACGCAGGGACCGAGCTCCGTCTACACTGCCTGACGCCCAGGCCGTTACCTTCACCTAGAGCACACCACGCAGGACTGAGCTCCGTCTACACTGCCTGACGCCCAGGCCGTTACCTTCACCTAGAGCATCTTCTGAGCTTTCTACCCCCGAGGTTCACTTGAGTTCAGTGAGGAAAGTGATCACACACAGATGTCTCTGCCCGCGCCCCAGAGGGTAGGCTAGGTTGCCTGGGTTGATGTGAATCTTCTAAAAGTCACTGGGAAAAAAGTAGTTTTTCCGTGGCACAGGTTTCACGTTTTCTGCCCATAAAGCCAACAGAGGGGCTGCGTTCCATCGTCTGGAACTGTGCTGAAGATCCTTGGCGACAGCTTTTTCTCTGCATACAGTTAACGCCCCTCCATGCTGGTGACATTAAAGGAATCGCCCAGGGGAGGGCGTCAGTGGTAGAGCCTCCTGCCCTATCCCTGGGAGAGAGCGGCCGGCCCTCGCCACAGAGCGTGGAGCGGAGTGGTTCCCACAGTGTTTCAGTTTCGGGTGCCAGCAGTCAAGGAAAGCAGGAGGCCGGGGCTCCCGGACAGCCTCCTGCGCTCCGTGTGCTGCTCTGCCGAGAGGGTCTACGTCAGACCCTCGCAGCCACCCCCAAAATGTAAGGCTTAGAACGTCCCCGCCCACAGAGCCCTGAGCCCCTTCCTGGGGACTGCATTTCCAGGCCCTCAGCAGCTGGGTAATTCCAGGCAAGCAGGGAGTGGAGCAGAATTATAGGAGAGTCGACTGGAGAAGAGCGCTAGACGGTGCCCTCGGCCAGTGGGCGAGTGAAATCTCACAGGGCAGCATTCTGTGGGGGAGAGAGCAGAATCCGACCGGCCGTGGATTGATCAGACGTGACTGAGGGTGGGCGGAAACAAATGCGCTGCTCTTCAGGATCAGAACTTCATTTATTTCTTTGGAAAGATTTACTTATTTGAAAGGGCAGAATCACTGGCTCACTCCCCAGATGGCTGCAACAGCCAGGGCTGGGCTAGGCTGAAGCCAGAAGCCAGGAGCTCCATCCAGGTCTCCCATGTGGGTGCAGGGGCTCGACCACTTGGGCCGTCTTCTGCTGCTTCCCAGGCACATTAGCAGGGAGCTGGATCAGTCGTGGAGCAGCTGGGACTCAAAGCCGGAACTCCTATGGGTTGTGCCAGTGTCATGGGCACAGCTTAACCTGCTGTATGCACCACAGGGCCCTCCCCATGAACTTTCCCTCACCAGCTCACTGGGCAGTGATTCAAAGCTGTCCCACCCTCACAGGAGGAACCCAGATAGCAACGTTGACTTCACGCACTCTAGGTCATTTGGGATTTATTCCCTAGTGTTATTCTCGTTAAAATGTTTTTTTCTGTCTACTCCATGTGCTTCCTTCCTGCCCAGCGTTAGGAGTAGTGGTGGGTGGGATGGTGGGTAAGGCAACAGCCCGGCTACTACCAGCAGATGGACCAGGCCAGACAGCGCTAATCGAAAGCAGAATGGGAAGACACTTAAGGAAGTTCCTGGGAAAACAGAAGTAAACAAGTATTATTTTGGTGCAAAGAAATCTTGAAATCCATGCATATATTTTTCATAATATACATTTTTCATTGACTTTCTGAAAACCCCTGGTATGCATGGATTTCCTCGGTTTTTTTTCCCTTGCACCAAAATAGACTTCTGTTTTAATTCCATGTCCCATAAACTGTTTGAAGTGCGTTTGCGTATTGAGAAGACAGTGGTTAACTGTATTTCTATTCTTGTTCATGAAGTTCCTTTTAATACAGGGAACTCAAAGCAAATGTGCTTCCCTGTGTCCTCATTTTCTGTTTTAGGAAGTGGAAAAATGTTAACTGCGTTTACAGAAAAAAAAAAAAAATCCCAAAAGCTGAATTCCAGAGAACCAATGAATAGTATGGGACTGACCTGAATTTTTTTTCTCCATTCATTCTGAAGACGTGTTTTGTTCTGTTTTAAGATTTACATATTTATTTGGAAGGCAGAGTTACAGACAGACATTGGTTCACTCCCCAAATGGCTGCAACGGCCAGAGCTGGGCCCATCCGAAGCCAGGAGCCTGGAGCTTCTTCCGGGTATCCCATGTGGGTGCAGAGGCCCAAAACACTTGGGCCATTTTCTGCTGCCTTCCCAGGTCATAGCAGAGAGCTGGATTGGAAGTAGAGCAGATGGGACTCGAACCAAGGCCCATATGGGATGCTGGCACTGCAGTCAGTGGCCTTACCACATCGCTGGGCCCCCAGACATTTTTTTTAAAGTAATTATCAACCCCAACACTGTGCCAGGGTATAATTTTTAAAGATATGATTCCTAAGAAAATCTACTTTAAAAATTCTTCCAAGTAAAACCTTTAGCCTTGACTACCTCAAACTGTATACTAATATATATATATATATATATATATATATCTCCTAATAATATAGTGTGGTTAGTGTAAGGATTACCAAGGTTAAAATGGAAGTGCCATTTGTATTTCATCCGCATGTCAGGCAGACACCACACAGGCATTTTCTCTTTCTGGAGCTTACATGTAGTTGTTCTCTGGAGAGTGGTAGACACTGTTTCAGTATTTGTCATTATTAGCATAACACCAGAACTCAACATCTAATATAAAAATACAGCCTGCCTTATGGAAGAAAACAAAACGTCTTGATTTATAACACTTGAAGGTGTTCCATCCTGCCCTGCCCTGGCTTTCTGATTCCCATGAGCAGGGGTGTTGAGCATTTGTATTAGAATCGTGTCAGTTCTCTCAGTGTTGCTGATAAAAGCCCAGCTGTGCAAGGACACCGGCATTTATTCTGCAGCTAAGCCCATTAACCTCAGCATTCTAAGTTGTAAATGCTAGAACATCTGAGCAGCACTCATGTAGCAGTTGGTAATGAAGCAACAAACCCCCTTTTTTTTTTTTTTGACAGAGTGGACAGGGAGAGAGAGACAGAGAGAAAGGTCTTCCTTTGCTGTTGGTTCACCCTCCAATGGCCGCCGCGGCCGGCGCACTGCGGCTGGCGCATTGCGCTGATCCGAAGGCAGGAGCCAGGTGCTTCTCCTGGTCTCCCTTGGGGTGCAGGGCCCAAGCACTTGGGCCATCCTCCACTGCACTCCCGGGCCACAGCAGAGAGCTGGCCTGGAAGAGGGGCAACCGGGACAGAATCCGGCGCCCCGACTGGGACTAGAAACTGGTGTGCCGGCGCCGCTAGGTGGAGGATTAGCCTATTGAGCCGTGGCGCCAGCTAACAAACTCATTTTTTGCAGCTGCTTTAGAAACAGCATTACTGCTTGAATTCTGTTACTGTCTCTCCTGTTAGCGAGGAGGTTTCGTTCTTTGGCATTATGGAGAGTAAAACTTGCCAACTTAAACCTTACTGAAAGTTCACCAAACATACTGCTTTATATGTAGGAAGTGATTTTTTTAAAAGCAACAAAGAAATGTCATTCTCACTTCTTTGCTGTTGGTGATCTAGATGGAAGATAGGGAAGGAGAAGGGTGAGGACAATTCATAGTAATTCACTAGTGTTGTTTTAGAATAGTATCAGAGAAGTCTCCAATGAAAACTGGAGGAAATATATGTTAATCATGGGAAAAAATGGGAGAGTGTCATTCCACTGTATGTACAGGAGTCTTGGTGATGCAACTCAGATCCTTGGTGATAATATCAATATTTTCATAGTCGTTAAGGTAAAACTAGGCCATGTGAAGAGTTTTCACGTTACTTGTGTTGGTATGTTTTAAACCAAACATAGGTCTGTGACATTTTATTATAATTAATTTTCAAGAATGAAATCTGTAAGTGATTATTGTCTGTGTGTGTGGTTTGTCCTTCTAAAAGCGGGCGAGGTTACACAATTCCAAGCCCGGATGTGTTAAACACAAAGAACCAGACTGATTTTTTTGTTCTCAGGACCGGAAGAATCCATGCCCTTCAGAAGGGATCTGTGCTGCATTTGGTCACTGGGTAGCTATCACTGCAGTGCCACCAACACTGACCATCATCAAGTGCTCTATTTCATGCCAGGTAAACTGATTCCATCAGAATAGGCCAAATGCTACCTTAAAAGGAAACCCAGATTACAAAAACCTGTACAATTAAAAAGAGGTCAAAGTACAAGCAACACACAGGAGAGCGAAAGGAAACATTGTGGGTGAAACCCCTCTGCCCTATATGGGGCTGTGAATAAGCTTCACAGGCGTTCTTCTCACACGGTTTGTAGGGAGAGGGAGAGAGGGTTGGAACGGAAACAATGGATTTCATGTATTTTACCAAGACAAATTAATGTGCCGTAATCACAAATAAAACCTTTTATTATTAACTCTGCCCTCAGGATGTGTTCTTGTTTGTTTTTTTAAGATTTGTTTATTTGAAAGGCAGAGTGAAACAGAGGCAGAGACAGAGAAGTTGTCTATCCGCTGGTTCAGTCCCAAATAGCTGTGATGGCCGGAGCTGAGCTGATCCAACGCCAGGAGCCAGGAGCTTCTCCCGGGTCTCCCACGTGGGTGCAGGAGCCCAATGACTTGGGCCATTTTCCACTGCTTTTCCAGCCCATAGCAGAGAGCTGGATTGGAAGTGGAGCAGCCGGGACCTGAACAGGCACCCATATGGGATGCTGACACTGCAGCTGGTGTCTTTACCTGCTATGCCACAGGGCTGGCCCCTTTTTTTTTTTTTTTTTTTTTTTTGACAGGCAGAGTGGACAGTGAGAGAGAGAGAAAGGTCTTCCTTTGTCGTTGGTTCACCCTCCAATGGGCCGCCGCGGCCGGCGCACTGCGGCCGGCGCACCGCACTGATCCGATGGCAGGAGCCAGGTGCTTTTCCTGGTCTCCCATGGGGTGCAGGGCCCAAGCACCTGGGCCATCCTCCACTGCACTCCCTGGCCACAGCAGAGAGCTGGCCTGGAAGAGGGGCAACCGGGACAGAATCCGGCGCCCCAACCGGGACTAGAACCCGGTGTGCTGGCGCCGCAAGGTGGAGGATTAGCCTAGTGAGCCGCGGCGCCGGCCCCCTTGTTGTTTTAGGACAATATCACTCGCGTGTTGTCTGCCCAGCATTGAGATCAGTATTGGTGTCCGTGGAGGGGCAGTGCCTTACTAGACACTCTTCTGCAAAGAAACGTCTCTAGTCATTTCCTTGAAGTTCCTTGCTTCCTGTCCACACTCCTGTCTCCTGCCACCTGTGACGTCATCCAGAGCAGCACTTCTCAAGCACGAGTATCAGGATTCTCCAGAGAAAAAGAACAGGAGTCCACGGCAAGTGTGTATTAGGGAGAAATACGTGTGATTTCCAAATGTTTTCACCAAAATACACTTACCTTTTCATTCCATTTTCCCATAAGCTTAAAAACATTTTAATTCGAGAGACAAAAGCTCCCATTTGCTAGTTTACTCCCTAAATGCTCACCGTGGCTGGGGCCAGATCCACTGAATCCAAGAGCCAGAAACTCCGTCCAGCTCTCCCATGTGGATAGCAGGAACCCAGCTACTTGAGCCATCACCCATTGCCTCCCAGGGTCTGCATTTACAGGAAGCTGGAATCAAGGATCAAACCCAGACGCACTGATGTGGGACATCAGCATCTAAGTTCAAGGCCAGACACACCCCACCCCGCCTGAGCTGCTCGCAGCACAGAGCAGTTTATTATACAGAATTGACTTGGCGCCAGCATTGCACAGCAGGTGGAGACACTGCTTGCGAGCCAGCGTCCCACACTGGAGCGCTCATGAGTCCCAGCTTCTCCACTTCTGATCCAGCTCCCCGCCAATGTGCCTGGGAAAGCAGTAAAATAAATAAAATAATGGCCTAAGTACTTGGGCCTTTATGGCCCACGTGGGAGACCCAGATGGAGTTCCAGGCTGTTGACATTAGTCTGGCCTAGCTCTGGCTATCAGCCTTTTGGGGAGTGAACCTATGGATGGAGTGTTTCTCTATGTCACTTTGCCTTTCAGATACATAAAATAAATGTTTCTTAATTAGCTCATACAATTACGGAGGCCGAGAAGTCCCAAGCTCTGTAGTTGGTAAGCTGAGAACCAGGAGTGCTGACAGCCTAAAGTTCCAGTCCCAACACTGGCACACTGGAGACCCAGAGAGCGCATGTTTGGGTCTGAGTCCGGTCGGGCAGGAGGAGGTCTCCTTTTCATTCTGTTCAGGCCTTCAGCTGGTTGAGTGAGGGTCACCCACTTCAGGAAGGGGGTTCTGCTATACACTCGTCTGCAGAGTGCAATGTCAATCTTATCCAGACACACCTTCACAGATGCCCCCAAGGAAATGTTTGATTAAATCCCTGGGTGATTTATAGATCAAATCGACACATAAAATTAGCCGTCTTACAGGACTGTCCCCTCACCATGGAGCCGTGTGCAACGCGGGGAGGGATAGCGGCTGGAGGTGCTGCCCGCTGTGGACTATGTGGAGGACAGCCCACGACCAGCAGCGGTCCCGGATGCCATGCTCTGAAAGCCTAAATAAACAAGACCAAGAGACAATTTGGGGATTTTTTTTAATCCTGGTCATTTTGGGGTGTATATTCTGATAAGGTGATGGAAATATATTAGTTCAGAAGTAAGGTCTATCTTTTACCAAGTTCCTAAAAGAAAAAAAATATTAAAAATCAGTGATAGTTGAGTCAGCAACAACGTTTAAAATTTATTTGTATAATATCCAAATAATCTTGGAATTAAGATTATTATTTAAGTGGAAATGTGAGTGTAGGGTATGATTTGTGTATGTTCTAAGTATGGCCATAAGGTGGCGCCAATGCTCATTTAAAAAAATACATCCTACTCAAATTCGGCATTACTACCTCATTCACTGGTAATGAACTACTTTTGGATATTGCTTCATAGCCAAGGCCAACGGGAAATCTCCCTAAAACTCCATAATGTGTTAGGTATTTAGTTATCTTGACACCCCTCTTTATTCAAGATGCTTCCAAATTACATGTCAGTATATCAGAAAACATGTCCCCCTTACTGTGTTTGTTGCATTGAGCATGTCTGGGGATTTGTGCAAGGCATTAACAGTAAGCCTTTGGGATTTCAGTGCAATCACACTGGCTCTTCTATCTGGCATTAAACAGTCTTGTTTTACTTATTTCAGAGACAGAGATCTCCCATGCCCTGGTTCACTCTGCCAAAGTCAGGGCCAGGCCAGGCCAAAGCTGGGAGATAGGAGCTCAACCCAGTCTCCCACACGGGTAGCAGAGATCCGACCACTTGAGCCATCCCTGCTGACTCCCGTCTACAGGAGCTGGAGACGGGGGCTGGAGCTGGGGCTTGAATGTGGGCATTTTGATGTGGGATATGAGCATCCTAACTGGTGTCTTAACTGCAAGGCTAAATGCCTGCCCCTGAACTTGGTTTTAATTTTTTCTTTTTTAAAGATTTATTTACTGGGGCCAGTGTTGTGACATAGTGGTTAAAGCCACCGCCAACAACATCGGCATCACATATTGGCACTACTTGGAGTCTTGGCTGCTTCACTTCCAATCCAGCTGCTTGCTAATGGCTTGGGAAAGCAGTGGAAGACGGCCCAAATCCTGAGGGCCCTGCACCTGCGTGGAAGACCTGGAGGAAGCTCCTGGCTCCTGGCTTCAGATCAGCGCAGCTCCAGCCATTGCAGCCATCTGGGGAGTGAATAAACGGATGGAAGATCTCTCTCTCTCTCTCTGTCTCTCTCTCTCTCTCTCATTCTCTCTCTGTAATTCTACCTTTCAAATAATAAATTATTTTTTAAAACCAGATTTATTTATGTATGAATTTGGAAGTCAGAGTTACAGAGAGGAGAGACAGATCTTCCATCCACTGTTCACTCCTCCATGGCTGCAGCTGCAGGGCTGAGGCAGGCTGAAGCTGAGAACCAGAAACGTCACCGGGTATGTCTCCCGCTGGGTGGAAGGGCCCAGACACGCGGCCATCTTCCAGTGCTCATCCAGGCCATTACCAGGAAGCTGCATCAGAAGTGGAGCAGCCGGGACTCAAACCAGTGTTGGTGTTGCCGGCAGTGGATTAACCCACTGCGTCACAACGCTGGCCCCAGTGTCAACTTTTGTGTTTCATTTTTTTCTTCTTTTAGGTGAGAAAGTGAGTATTTACTTTGAGAAAATAATAACAAAACATAAACTTTAGGGGGTGGCGCTGTGGCATAGCTGGTAAAGCCGCCACCTGCAGTGCCAATATCCCATATGGGTGCCGGTTCGAGTCCTGACGGCTCCACTTTTGATCCAGTTCTTTGCTATGGCCTAGAAAAGCAGTAGAAGGCCCAAGTCCTTGGGCCCCTGCACCCATGTGGGAGACAAGGCAACTCCTGGCTCCTGGCTTCATATTGGCGCAGCTCTGGCCGTTGCAGCCATTTGGGGAGTGAACCAGTGGGTGGAAGACCTCTCTCACTCTCTCTCTCTCTCTGCCTCTCTGTAACTCTGCCTTTCAAATAAATAAATATTTTTATATATAAGATTTATTTATTTATAGTATTTATTATATATAATTTTATATATTATATATTATATAATATATAATATTTTATATATATTATATATAATTATATATTATATATAAATTATATAAATAAACTTTAAAAAGCTGACATATCCACACACATCATGAATCTATAAATTATAAATCTATAAAACACAGTTTTTGGATTCATTGCCTGAAATGCCTCTATATTTTCTCCTGCTTTTTTTTAAGATCTTATTTTTATTATTTATTTGAAAGGCAGAGTTAGAGAGAGATGGGGGGAGTTAATGAGAGAGAGGTCTTCCATCTGCTGGTTCACTCCCCAAATGGCTGCATCAACCAGGGTTGGGCCAGGCTGAAGCCAGGAGCCAAGAGCTTCTTTGGGGTCTCCCACGTGGGTGCAGGGGCCCAAGTACTTGGGGCATCTTCTGCTGCTTTCCCAACCACATTAGCAGGGAGCTGGATTGGAAATGGAGCAGCCAGGACTTGAACTAGTGCCCATATGGGATGCTGGCACTGCAGGTGCCGGCTTTGCCCACTGCACCACAATGTTGCCCCCCAACTCCTTTTTTTTTTTTTTTTTTTTTTTTTTTTTTGGACAGGCAGAGTGGAGAGAGAGACAGAGAGAAAGGTCTTCCTTTTCCATTGGTTCACCCCACAATGGCCGCTATGGCCGGCGCACTGCGCCAATCTGAAGCCAGGAGCCAGGTGCCTCTCCTGGTCTCCCATGGGGTGCAGGGCCCAAGCACTTGGGCCATCCTCCACTGCACACCCGGGCCACAGCAGAGAGCTGGCCTGGAAGAGGGGCAACCGGGACAGAATCCGGCGCCCAGACCGGGACTAGAACCCAGGGTGCCGGCACCACAGGCGGAGGATTGACCCAGTGAGCCCTGGTGCCGGCCTGTAACTCCATTTTTAACATTAAATTGAAAGATAGTTGAGTGGCCGGCCCCGCGGCTCACTAGGCTAATCCTCCACCTGCGGCGCTGGCACACTGGGTTCTAGTCCCGGTCGGGGCGCCGGATTCTGTCCCGGTTGCCTCTCTTCCAGGCCAGCCCTCTGCTATGGCCCGGGAGTGCAGTGGAGGATGGCCCAGGTGCTTGGGCCCTGCACCCCATGGGAGACCAGGAGAAGCACCTGGCTCCTGCCATCGGATCAGCGCGGTGCGCCGGCCGCAGCGCACTGGCCGTGGCGGCCATTGGAGGGTGAACCAACGGCAAAAGGAAGACCTTTCTCTCTGTCTCTTTCTCTCACTGTCCACTCTGCCTGAAAGAAAGAAGGAAAGAAGGAAAGAAGGAAAGAAAGAAAGAAAGAGAAAGAAAGACAGTTGAGTAAACACTCCCGTGCTTGCTTCTTGCCTCACTTCATTCTCCACAGCTACAGCCCGTGGAGCTGGCCAGTGGTATTTTCTGCAGTCCACTGGTTTTCACTGTGGTTCAGCAACCTCCTACGATCGTGTTCGTTTTCCCTTTCTCCCCTCACGTCCTTCCCTCCAGTTCCATTCTCTTGGGTTGCTGAGAGTGCTTTTCTTTTTATTTCTTCGTTTTTAAAAAAATTATTTTATTTGAAGAGCAGAGAGAGAAGGATTTCCACTTTACTGGTTCACTACCCCAAGGCCCACAACAGCCGGGACTGGGCCAGGATGAACTCGGGAGCCAGGAGCTCCATCCATGTCTCCCATGAGTGGCAGGAACCCAAGTACTGGAGCCATCATCTGCTGCCTTATCAGGATGCAAATAGCAGGAAGCTGGGGCAGCAGTAGCTGAGACTCAGCTCTCAGATACAGGATTTGGACATCCCAAGCCTTGGCTTAGCCCACTGTTAACCCGCAGCCATATGACTGCCCCCTCCAGACGTTTTATTTGAAAGAGCTATGGGGGGGGGGGGGCGGGCAGACGTATCCCCCATCAGCTGGTTCACTCCCACAATGCAAGAGGCATGAAGCTCCATCTGGGACTCCCATGTGGCTAGTGCCTTCCTCTGTTGCTTTCCCAGGTGCATTAACAGGGAGCTGGATCAGAAGTGGAGCAGCACCCATACAGGATGCCGGCACCACAGGTGGAGGCTTAGCCTACTACACCACAGCACCGACTCTGATCTTATGAATGTATCCCTGCCTCATTTTTCTGTAGTAGAAGCCATGTACTTCTTAGTCCCAGTCATACATAGCTTTTATAAATGTGGGGGGGGGGTCAAGGGAGGGGCCCAACATTCACTCACTATAGCTGCCTTGTAGGGAGGGAAGGCCCTGTGATGTTGGGGAGAAAACACAGGTTACTTTGCCAAGGAGAAAATGAAAGGCAGACCAAAGATTCTCAGGGTGGGAGGCAGGGCCCAAAATATTTTTTGCTGGACCAGTTCCTGGCTCCCACACGGCTGTTTTTTCACACATGTGCAAAGCCTGGAGCTGTGAGCCCAGCAGGCCTGTCCCCTCTCTCCATCACCAGACTTTAACTGTCAGAGAATGGCCTCTGCGCAACGCCTCACTAGGGGGCGCTGCTTCCCCGAGTGTCGGGCTGGACCCAGACAGCTCAGCTTTTCCTTAGCCTGGTTGAAACACCAAGATTAATTAATATTAATCAATCAACACTGATTGATTAATGTTAACCTGCTAGTTAGTTCGTCTTAAATCCCTGGAAGAAGTAAAAATTTTCACTGACAAAGTTCTCATGTGGTGTAGATATCAGAATAAAGCTTTCAATTTCGGGGCCGGCATTGTGGGGTAGCAGGTTAAGTGGCTGTTTGCTACAACAGGTTCTGTTCAAGTCTCGGCTGCTCCACTTCCAAAACAGATCCCTACTAATGCGCCTGGGAAAGCAGCGGAAGATGGCCCAAGGCCATGGGCCCCTGCACTCACACGGGTGACCCGGAAGAAGCTCCTGGCTCCTGGTTCAGCCTGGACCAGTGCCAGCCATTGCGGCCATTTGGGGAGTGAACCAGGAAGATCTCTCTCTCTCTCTCTGTCTCTTCTATCTCTTTCTCTAACTCTGCCTTTCAAATACTTAAAAAATATATGTTTCCCCCCCCCCCCAAAGAAATAAGACTCAATTCTACCAGGTGAACCATGTTTGTCAAATTTTGCAGAACCCTGCACTAAAATGGGTGTATTTTACTGTTTGGAAATTACATCCTACAAAGGAAAAAAGACTAGTTCCACTCAGATAAATACAGATAGGTCTTTTTTTTAAAAGATATATTTTATTTATTTGAAATAGGGTTAGAGAGATCTTCCATCTCCTATTTCACTCCCCAAATGGCTGCAATGACCGGGGCTGTGCCAGGCCAAAGCCAGGAGCCAGAAGCTTCCTCCAGGTCTCCCACGTGGGTGCAGGGGCCCAAGGACTTGTGCCATCTTCTACTGCTTTCCCAGGCCATTAGCTGGGCATTGGATGGGAAGTGGAGCAGCTGGGACTCAAACCAGTGCCTACATGGGAAACTGACTCTGACCCCCAGAGAAGTCTTAATGACTGTCTATACATTAGCAATGCTTCAGGAAAGCAATCGGCCAGACATTGGAAATCGGAGATAATTAAGGAAATTCACTCTGAAATCAGGGAACTTACTGGTTAGGCATTTGTAGCACGTTTGTATAAAAGATCAGAAACCCAGTTTGACTCCTTTCAGCTGAACGGAGTCGTGTCCACACAGCAGCCTGACAGTGCACAGGGCCACCCACTCTTGGCCTTTCGGGAGGATGAGGCACTGTTTCTGGCTGCCCTGCCGGAGGAGAAGTGGAATTCTGACCAAAGCTCCTGGGCTGCGAATGGGCCACTGCACGGGGGAGCTCTGCCCTGGACCTGACAGATGAGGCTCACTGAGTGACTGGCACAGGCATGCTGCAGCGGCATCAGTTCCAGCAGGGACGGACCAGAGTCGAGGTCTAGAGACCTACTGATGGCCACACCGGGCATCAGAGTCTGAGAACCGGCAGTTAGGTTTGGTGTTGTTCTGTGCGCTGCATCTCCCAGGAGCTCAAAAGCAGAAGGCTTGGCTTGGTTCTAACTTTTACCTGAGACACAGCGAGCTCTCACCCCGGGTGCACTCACCAAATGCCCACAAAGGACAGGGACAGCCGAAGCCAGGAGCTGGGAACCCCGTCCAGCTCTCCCACTTGGGTGGCAGGGACCCAAAGGCTGCTTCCTCCCACGGTCTGTATTAGCAGGAAGCTGGAGTCAGGAGCTGGAGCTGGGCATTGGACCGAGGTGCTCTGATGCAGGACACAGGCGTTTTACCTTGTGTCCTAACCACTAGGCTAAATGCCCACCCTGAAGGCCTGCACTTTATGGCCATAGAAAAGAAAAAAAAGTTATTCACAAAGGAACCAGGGACTCCAGATTTCAGTATTAAATTCAGCTCTAAGAGGGATCAGCAGAATCACCTATGAAGACAAGCTCTAGAAGGGGTGGTGTATCTTTCTTATTAGACATAAGTGATTTAGGGGCTGGCGCCATGGCTCACTTGGCTAATCCTCCACCTGCAGTGCCGGCACCCCATATGGGCGCAGAGTTCTAGTCTTGGCTGCTCCTCTTCCAGTCCAGCTCTCTGCTGTGACCCAGGAGGGCAGTGGAGGATGGCCCAGGTGATTGGGCCCTGCACCTGCATAGGAGACCAGGAAGAAGCACCTGGCTCCGGATTGGTGGCCATTTGCGGGGGGGACCCAACGGAAGACCTTTCTTTCTCTCTAACTCTACCTGTCAAATTAAAAAAAAAAAAAAAAAAAAAAAAAAGGAAAAAGGAAGGGAGGGAGGGAGGGAGGAAGGAAGGAAATAAGTGATTTAATACAACTTTTAAACATTCTGCAAAACATGAGACATTACACACCTGTGATGCTTGTAGATGAGGAAGACATTTTGCTTTGGAACTAGATTTAGCTTTAGGACTTCCTAGATAATACCAACTTTTAAATCTGTTCCAACACTTAAAAACTACGCTTGACTGGGGCTGGCACTGTGGTGTAGCAGGTAAAGCCACAACATGCAATGCCGGCATCCCATATGGGCGCCAGTTCAGGTCCTGGCTGCTCCACTTCCCATCCAGCTCTCTGCTATGGCCTGGGAGAGCAGTAAAGATGGCCCAAGTCCTTGGGCCCCTACACCCACGTGGGAAACCCAGAAGGGATGCCTGGCTTCTGGCTTCAGGTCAGCCCAGCTCCAGCCATTGCGGCCAACTGGGGAGTGAACCAGCAGATGACATAGACCCCCCCACCCCCACCTGCCTGCCTGCCTCTGCCTCTCTCTAACACTCCCTTGCAAATAAATAAAGAAATCTAGAAAGAAAGAAAGGAAGGAAGGAAGGAAGGAAGGAAGGAAGGAAGGAAGGAAGGAAGGAAGGAAGGAAGGAAGGAAGGGAAACTACACTTGTCTCTCAGTGTCAGTGGGGTATTAGTTATATGGCCCCATACACAGCAAAATCCACAGATGCTGAAGTCCCTTATATAAAATGGCATAGCATTTGCACATAATATGCATGTCTTCCTGCAAACTTTAAGTCATCTCTAGATAACTTATCATTCTAATACAAATCCCACATATATAGCTGCTAAATCGTATTGCTTAGGGAATAATGACAAGGCAAAGTCTGTACAGTACAGAGGTACAAAGGTAACTTTTTCCTCCAAACATTTCCTCTGTGGTTGGTGCAGCCCATGCACCCATAGGGCTGACAGCGGAGTCTCCTGTGGGGTCCCATTCTCCACACTGGTTGCATGCAAGAAAAAACAGGGTTATTGTACAGGGTGGGCATCGTGGCACAGTGGGTTAAGCTGCCACTTGCAACACTTGTATCCTGTATCAGCGTTCCTGGGATCAAGTCCTGCCTTTGCTTCTGGTCCAGCTTCCTGCTAACGTACACCTGGAAGGCAGCAGATGAGGATCCAAATTCTTGGGTCCCTGCCATCCACGTCGGAGACCAGGATGGAATTTCTGCCTCCTCGCTTCAACCTGGCCCAGTCCTGGCTGTTGCCGGCATTTGGGAGTGAACCAGCGGATGGAAGACCTCTGTCCGCCTGCTTTCCAAATAAGTAAACTTAAAAAACAAAACCAAAAAACGAGATTGTTAACCTTAGCAGAATGCAGTCAGTGCCTCCGTGCACACAGAAAGTTTGGAACACCCAGCTTTAGCAGGTACCATCTGAATGAGCATTTTCGTATCAAGACAGCGGAGTTGTTTGGAAAATGTAAAGATTCTTAGCACTTACAGGCTGGCATAAAGCAGAAAGGACACCTAGTGAGGACAGCGAGCGAGGATCAAACCCGTTCTGTCAAATCCGCAGACGGCAATGGGTCCAGAGGCACCGGGTCGCCTGAATGAGGTCCAAGTTGCAGTGTTCACACGGCCCTGGCGGGAGGTTGCCCCTCGGGTTGCTGACAGCCTGCGGAACTTCTGGCAGTGTTCTCAGGAACCCATCAGTGTTCAGTGTGATCTTTCCAGCCTGGGAACTGAACGTCACCCCCCCGCACTGGAGAGGTCTGGCCAAACAACTTAGCGTTTATTCTTAGCGTTTATCATCAGCACACAGAGAATTCACCTTGAAACCTTTTTTCCACAGAATCTTCTTTCTTTAATAATAGCATCTGAGCCACAGTCATATAATACTAATTCTAATGAGAAATACAAAATGGAATTTTACTTCCATAAGAGCTCATCCACTTAACATTTTTACAGACAAAGGACTACTATAAATATGTAACATTATGCAGGCTTCTTCCTGCACCTAGTCACAAATCAGAGTGAATACACTGTGTAACCGCTCAGGCACTGAGAGCTTGCAGACTGCTGTATTCACACCACACCTGCCCCACGCCAGAACAATCAGCAGCGCTTTCTACTCCCCTACATGGCACTTGAGCGGCAGAATCGTCCAGGGCTCTCAACCTTCACCTCTGCCCTAGTTCCTCTCATCACTGCTCCCTACTGAGCCCTTGGAGGCCAGCAAACCTGTCCCATCATTAAACAGCTTCTGGCTTGTGTTATGCCTAACACATGTGTTAAATCAGATGGAATTTAATCACGACACCCAAGTTTACATCACTTCTTCCTAAAATTTCTTGGTAACTGAATAAGGATTATAAAAAAAATGTTTTTCAAAAAGGTACTAGGATCGAAATTTGGAATTCTGTACAAGAAATTTCGTATTACACAATAAAATATCATAGAAATTTGAACCTAAAGAACTCTCAACCTTGAAGATATTAAAAATGCAGATTGGCAGACAGAAAAGTCAAACTTTGATGTGTAGCTTATCAGAGGAAATTAGAAAGTACACTTCACATCTCAGTAAAGTTGACATTAAAAGGGGAATTCCAAAGTCTAACAATATTTTTTTTAATTCTGCTGTAAACCCCTAAAAAATTCTTAACTGTAAAAAATAAGGCAACTTGAAGTTAGAAATATACACATGAAATTAACCGGATTGCTTGGAGCCAGATGTGGCTGGTCTCTGGTGATTCTGAGCCCAATTTCTGCGAGACGCCCATCCGCATATACTGGTGAAACGACAGCCTCTCTCCGGAGTAAATCAAAGCGTCTCTAAGGCCCTACTAAACAGCAGAACAATTGAGATCTCGCAATCTCATGCTGTCAGGTGCATTACCCTGGAAGATAATCATGCAGACAGCTTCTCTGAAGAACTCCAGTTGTGCCACCTGCTTATTATTCTTTGAGGTGGAGGAGGTGGCAGGGAACATAATTCTGTTTGAAAGCTCTTTTGTTTTCTGCTACTTTTACTTCAATGTTACCAGGAACTATTTTTGTATCCTATAAGGTGGTTTGAAAAAAAATGGCAAGTGCACAGTGCTACGTACAATAAGGGAGACTTTTCATAATCTCTGGGTTGTAAGAAGCAAACTTCTCTTAAAAGAGGGAACACAGAGGCCAGCACCACGGCCTAGCGGGTAAAGCCACTGCCTGCAGTGCCGGCATTCCATATGGGCACCGGTTTGAGTCCGGCTGCTCCATTTCTGATCCAGCTCTCTACTACAACCTCGGAAAGAAGCAGAAGATGGCCCAAGTCCTTGTGCCCCTGCACCCATATGGGAGACCTGGGGGAAGCTCCTGGATCCTGGCTTCAGATTGGCCCAGCTCTGGCCACTGCAGCCATTTAGGGAATAAACCAGAGGAAGGAAGACCTCCATCTTTCTCTCTGCCTCTCTGTAATTCTGCCTCTCAAATAAATAAACCTTAAAAAAATGAGAGGGGATAGAATATGCTGAAAAAAATGAACAAATACTTAATTAGCTCCCCCAATCCTGTAAAATTCCAAGTTCAAAGAGAAACTGAATCCTAGCTAATAAATAAAAGCACTAAAAGCAGCATTTAGATGAAAATTAATGTGGTGTTCTTAAGTTTAAACCTTTTAAATGAACATTTTTATGTTGTCAAACGGATGCATCAGAACCTATTTACACTCAGTGAATGCTTTGCATTTAAGGTCAAATTACTTAAAATAAATACCATTATAATAAAAATATTTTTGAGACTTGTGAGCCATCTGATTCCTGATTATTTCTATGACAATTAAGTTGGGTCACTCTAGAATTCACTGTAAAATGATCTGGCCACATAGCAGACAGAATGAGACTGAGACCAATTAATTTCCAGATTCCTTTTCCAAAGAGATACTCTCAACAGAAAAGACTGAGGGAAAATTGCTTAGGGATGGATGCAGTGAACACACATCTCATCATAAAGACAATAATATATTCTACCCAAAAATATCTATAAGAGCACAGTGAAAAAAAAAACACCTACAACTACTTAAAAAGTTACTTTCTTAACCAAAAAGACCTTGTAACTGCTTTTAAAAATCCCAAATGTCTAAACCTTCCAAAAATATTTTTAATAACTCATAAGTGCTATGATCATTCTTAAGCAATTAGTAAAAGCTTCCAACACAGATATGTTGGCTTGGAGCCATCCTTGTAGAAAATGAAGACCAGAGTCTTCAAACAGGGCTAAATGTACTCATCTTCATCGGGTTTGCCCACTGTTCACTTTTTAATGTGATAGGAGTTTTGCTGGTAGCTGTTCAAGTCCGTTAGCACCACATATAGTGAACTGAAAAGAGTCTTTTCAGAATGACTTAGCGGTTTTTTTTCCTTCATGCTTAAGAACTGTAGAATTTAAAGAAATTTATTTCCTGGGTCATGTATGTAGAAAGACCCACTTTCCATCTTGCTGAGCTGAAGGATTTCTCCCAAAGGTTACAAGCATGAAGGGAGGAAAATGTGAAGATACTTTTGCACGTCAACAAATTCAGCAATCACTGATGAGATCAGAAGCTACCCTTTAAATAACTGAGTAAACTGCAAATAAGCCCTTTTCCTCTTGGTAAAGTATTAACTGGACTGAAAAATCACAATGAAAAACTTGATTTTCAATATCCATGAAAAAAGCTTTTTGCTGGTCTCTCAATACCTAGAGACAATGAAAGAATACTGGCAATTAAAATAAAATGTGCTGTAGCAATAACTTTGCTCTTTCTAGTCAACCATGCCAGTGGCTCATTCTTGGCCATGAATCAGTGACGTTTTCACTAAATTACTGTGGCCTCCTAGGACCTTAACTTCCAAGCCTGGATCTGACTTCCTTTACTCTCCCCTCTGGGAAGAGAGGCTGACTAACCAGCTTCTCAGAAGTGATTTTGCAAGGTCAGTGTTATGGTGAGCCGTGGCCATTTGCTACTTGGGAAGTCCACCTCCTTCCTTCTATTGGACAAAAAGTAACCTTCTCTTTGTCTTGCTTTTGTTGTTTTTTTCTTTAGCAGATCAGCCTCTGTAGAAATAGATGTATCCAGGCCTACTGGGGCAGGAGGAAGATGGGGAGGAACGATGCACTCTTTCCACACTTTTGTACGTGCCTGGCTGAAGGAACCAGTGAGTGGCATTTGCAAGGAACAGTGCTCAAGACTAGAAACCACTCACGTTTAATTCCAACATGCGTGTTCTGCACACTCACTGCTGAAACTGACAAAATACATTTCTTGAGGTGAGAGGACTTGCTTTATGAGTGTAATAACTAAAAACCACATGTCACTAAAAGAGCTCACCCTAGTCATCATCTTAAACAAGATAAAAACGCACCGTCAGGAAAAGTTTTTGAAAAAAAATGTTTCAACCGGACTCTATGACATCAGAGGACATGAAAGAGCCTGGGGCATACGGTAAGTGCTCGATAAATACATCCTTTCTCCCCAAAGCTCTCCATTCTCCACACCCCATCTTAGTCACACCCAGCGCTTCACTCGGCATTCCAAGTCTGCACAGACTTCCTCCAATCCGGAAGTGACTGCATCTCAGCGGACTGGAGAGTTTTGTAGGAGTTCTCATTTGGCACTGAATAACAAATAAATAAATGCCATAAATGTGGAAAATAATTCACCAGGAGCTTTCGGCCCTCTCCCAGGATTCAGAAATGAAGTCACTGCAGGGGGCTGTTTATTCTGTTGTCATCAGCGGCCATTTCATTGACCAGCTGTTCTATAGACAACTGGATGGCATTCTTGACGAGCGAAGACGCTGTTTCTATCAAGAGCGTCTCATACTGTTCTGAAGTTCTCCCCTCCACACCACCATCATTGTCCACTGAAACTAAGAACGGCTTGGGGACATTTTTCGACCTCTTCACATCGAATTCACTGATTTCGGTGTCTGTGATAATAATGGCAATGGGCTCCATCCTTTTGCTCTCCTCTGCTTGGGGTTTCTCTGCAGGGACGCCATTTTCTTTCCAGTCTGATTCCTGGCGCAATCCAGAGTCTTCGCATTCGGTCTCCGCCACGGCCACCTCTCTCTCCGAGTCTTTCCGATCCGGCCGGCTCTCGGGGACGCTGTCCTCGGCTTCTGCCTCACTGCGAGGCTCTGCACCTGCAGCCTCGAGCGCACCGGCTGGCTGGGCTTGAACTCCCGGTTCCTCCTCCTCCTCCTGCGCCGTGTCGCTGTCTTTCCCAAGGACGAGCGCTCCTGTCTGCACAGCAGGCCGCCCGCCATCGGAACCCAGCTCCACGGCGATCACTTGCTCCCCGGAGGGCCCACGGCCGCGGCCAGGGGCCTCAGAGGCCTCTGGGGGCGCCGGGGCCGGCGCGGCCTTGGCTGCCCGCTCGGCCGACGGGGTCCGGGCCCGGGTAGTCGACCCTTCCGCCTCTCCCTGGACTCTGCCGCTGCAGTCGGAGTCCTCGAGAATCTGGGAACGCGCGCCCTTCTTGCCCCCTCTTGAGAATTTCACGCAAGGAATCTTCAGTCTGGATCTTGGCCTCTTCTTGGGCAGGGCGGCGTCCTCGGCTCGGACGTCGGACCGCGCTTCCGCCTCCTCACGCCTCTGCGCCTGCGCGGAATCCGCCCGCTTCCGGCGCGTCACGAGGCGCTGGAGGGAGGCCCAGGCGCCTGCGCGCCGCGGGGGCTGATGGGAAGCTCCAGCGCCCGCAGGGCCAGGGCCGGGCCTGGCGGCGGCTGGGCCCTCAGAACCCACCGCTGGCTTCGGCTTTTGCTTCGGCGCCGGGGCTGCTTTCTTCCTTCGCTTGAAGCACAGCGTGGCCGCCTTGTCCCCCGGCCTCTCACCCTGAGGGCTGGCTTCCGCCGAGCGCCCCTCCTCCTTGTTCTCGACCTGAATTTCGGAGACCGAGGTCTCCATCTTCACGCTGCTCGCCCTCGTTCCTCCACGGAACGCTCTCGCTCAGCAGCCTTCGTGGCCCAGAGGTGGGCAGAACGCACACGGCCCGCGCTCCCTCCAGGTGGGTGCTCTCGGTTGCCCTTACGCCATGCGGTCGCTGCAGGCGGCTGTGGGCACACGGGGCCCGCAGGCTCTACGGCTTGCAGCGTCTCTCTCGGATGTCTTCATGGAAGGTCTTCACTCGATCCATTTTTGCTTTATTTAAAGATGAACCTGGGGAGAGAAGAGACAGCGGTGTTTCATTTCTTCATGAGCCTTTCTAGAGACTGTTGTAGTCGACTGCAGCTGTTACTGCACGTGTTTGCCATACAGTAGCTCTCTGAGGTGACTGGACAACAAAAACTGGGGTTTACTTCTGTCTTATCAAGAAGCTTTCAATGCGAATCTATTTCGTGCTTTTCCCTTCCTTAAAAACTTCGGGGGGGGGGGCGGCTACGGCGCTGTGGCATAGCGGGTAAAACTGCTGCCTGCAGTACCAGCATCCCATATGGGCGCCGGTTCCAGTCTCGGCTGCTCCACCTCCGATCCAGCTCTCTGCTATGGCCTGGGAAAGCAGTGGAAGATGGCCCAAGTCCTTTGGCTTCTGCACCCGCGTGGGAAACCTGGAAGAAGCTCCTGGCTGCGGATCGGCGCAGCTCTGGCCATTGCAGCCAACTGGGGAGTGAACCAGTGGATGGAGGACCTCTCTCTCTCTCTCTGCTTCTCCTTCTCTGTGTAACTGACTTTCAAATAAATAAATCTTTAAAAAAAAAAAAAAAAACTTCATTACGTCTGCTAGCAGTTCTTTAGTTGTGCTGTCCTTATGAACTGTCCGTGACCCTCCGTTGCAAGTTTAGCAAAGAACAAAGACCAACCACGCTGAAGGGCAGGGTGACAGGCAAGCTAATGCCATTTGGATCACGTGTAATAAAGAATTTCCCAACTGCCAAGGACTTTAGAGATTGAGAAGCCACATGTCCAGCCAGATGAGCTAGAAAGGGGGCAGCTGGCTTGCTGAGAGCCAGAGTTAGCACAAGTGCCTGACTCCCGGTGTTCTTTCCATTCTACCAGACGGTTTCTGTTCTAAAAATGTGTTGCATCACGGAGGTGCTACTTCTCAAACATACTCTTTGGAAAATTTAACATCACTGTCATTCGCCACTTTTAAATCAGCTGTATAATTCTGGCATTTTCACTGGAGTGTCTGCTGTTCAAACTTCTCTACCATAATGTACACAGTGGAGAGTCAGTCATTGAGCGACTTTTTTTTTTTTTTTTTTTTTTTTTTTTGAAGATTGATTGGTTTACTTGAGAGGCAGAGTTACAGAGAGAACGGTAGAAACAGATCTGCCATCCACTGGGACCAGGCTGAAGCCAGGAGCCAGGAGCTTCCTCCAGATCTCCCATGTGGATGCAGGGGCCCAAGCACTCGGGCCATCTTCCTCCTTCTTAGGCACATCAGCAGGGAGCAGGATCAGAAGTGGAACAGCAGGGACTCAAGCCAGCGCCTGCAGGGGATGCCAGTGTCGTAGTCGGCAGCTTAACCTGCTATGCCACAGTGCCAGCCTTGTAATTGAGCAACTTTTGCATCTTAGGCTGTGCTAAGCATCATAGTTACTTCTCTAATCTCTACTATAATGTAAGAGGGCTTCAAATCAAAAGATTGGTTTAGGAGCTGGGGCTTGGCCTAGTGGTTAGGACACCATTCGGGATAACCATGTGGGCTGGAAGACCAGCTTCGTGGCTCCTGTCTCCAGCTTCCTGCTCATGTGCACCCTGGGAAGCTGCAGTGGTGGTTCAAGTGTTTGCCACCCACACAGGAGACCTGGATTGCATTCCCAAATCTCAGCTTCAATGGACCCAGTCCTGGCCATTGCAGACTTTTTGGAAGTGAGCCAACAGATGGAAGTTCATGCCTTCTTTCTCTGTGTCTCTGCTTCATAAATCATTTTTTAAAAAAGATAAGTTTGGGGCTGGCGTTGTGGTGCAGTGGGTTAAACCTCTGGCTGCAATGCTGGCATTCCATGTGGGTACCAGTTCCAGCCCTGGCTGCTCCACTTCCAATCCAGTTCCCTGCTCATGCACCTGGGAAAGCAGTGGAGAATAACTCAACTCCTTGGGCCTCTGCCACCCACATGGGAGACCCGGAAGCTCCTGGCTCCTGGCTTCAACCTGGCCCAGCCCAGCCATTGCAGTCATTTAGGAAATGAATCAGCAGATGGAAAAAAATCTCTCTCACTCTGCAACTCTGCATTTCAAACACATAACATTTTAAAGAAATAAGTAAAAAATTAAAAGTTTGGTGCAAAAAATTGAAATCCACAAATATAGAAGAGATCTTCACAAACTTCATGGAAATGAAAATGACAAAATGATGCATGAATTTCAAGGTTTTTTTTTTTTTTTTGGTGTACAAATAAACATCTTTTCATTGCATTTTCCATAGTTTCTGAAGTCTCCTCGTACTACAGAGTGGATGGCGTTCTCACCATGCACAGATGAAGCAGTGGCCCCACACTTCCCAGCACAGTGGTAACAGAGCTCAGATTCAGTCCAGATCTGCCTGCTCCTGAAGCCTGGTGCTCTGAGGTGGTGCTCTGTGAGTTTCACCAGAAAACCAACTGTCTGGAGTGGCTAATCTGCAACAGAACCATTCATGTAGATTCTTGAACAGTGTTTAACAGCCATTTTATTAACCGTAACGCAGCCCATCAGCTCAGCCTCGAAACAAGGCTAGACCGAATTCTTGCTATTCTGAAGCCAAACTTTTGAAATCCTTTATATTTTACTGTCTTGGTCAACTAAGTAAAAAAAAAAAAAAAAAAGCCTAAGATAAACGGACAAGCTATGCAATCAGCAAATAGATTAGTTTCATGTACACATAAAGGTGCATTTGAAAAGGAACCCACAGAATGCTACCCAGGCACCCAAGAAAGAAGGAGTGAGGCCTTGAAAAAAAGTCATATGACCTAAAATAAGCTAAGAGACTCTTTCCTCAGACTGTTTTTATGCAAATCCCTCACGTGTGTCTCATTTAGGAAGCCCTTAATTCTATGAACTTGAGAAAGAACTGGAACGCTGAACATCCGTTTACAACCTAAGCAAATATTCCCTTAGGTTGCATCCTTCATACCTCTAACAGAAAGAATCCTTCTAGAACCACGATGGAATTCAAATCTAAACGTCTCCCGGTGCCCCTCTCACCTAATGCCGCGGTAAGCGCTGGACTCTGAGCTGGTTAGAACTCTAAGCCGTCTCACCTCTGGCGGGTTCTCAGCCCCTGGGCCTTTTTATTAAGGAGACGGTGTTATTCCTGATCGAAATACTGAAGTCAGATCATGTTCAGGAATGTGTCATCTGCAACTAACCTGGATTTCTCAAAGACAATTTCTTCGAGACGCTCGGGTGAATGCATATCACACTGCAGAAATAAAACAGCCACACACACACACTCTGACGGGGTGGGGGGTGGTGGGTGGGGGGGCTCAATCTGCAGACAGGAGACCTCTGCAGGTGACTCGCCCTGGAGCCTCCGGAGACCCTGCTGTCGTCGCCGCAGAAAGCAGAGCACCCACGACCCCGCAGCAGCCAGGGCCCTCGACGCTTCCTCCTGCAGGGAGTCAATCTCTCCTCTGGCACGATACAGAGAGCCCAGGATAAAGTCCTCAAAAAAGGAAAATGCCGGGGGCGTGAACAGAGAACCCAGCTTCGAGCTCGCTGCAAAACGGTAATGGCCAGGAACCCATCACCACATTTTACCTCCCCCCGCCCCACCAAAAAAAAAAAAAAAAAAAAAAAAAGACGGTAAGGAAGGAAAAAGCTACCGGGCAGCCCCGGCTTCCAGGTCGCGCTGCAACGCCAAGCGGGAGGGTGGGCAGCGTGGGCAGGGGCGGCCCTGGCTGCAGATTCCTGCTGACCAACGAGCGCCCGCCACCTCGGGGCGCTCCGCAGCCCGCGCCCGCCGCCCACCTCCCGCCCACCCCGCCGGCCAGCCCGGCCACCCTCCCGGACACTGCCCCGGAGCCTCCTCCCCGCCCTGCCTCCACTTACCCCGAGCGCAGCGGTCCCCGGCCAGCCTCGTTCCCGGGGTCGGGGGCGCGCCCCGGCAGTCGGCGAGCCACAGTCGCACCCGCAGCCAGCAGCCCTCTGCAGCGCATGGACCGTGGCACCGTTGCGCCCCCTCCCCAGCAGCGCGGGGACAGGCAGGCAGCGGCGCCAACGCGCTCGGAGCGGGCGGGGGGCGGCGCCGGGGCGGGGCTCGGGGCCCCGCCTGCGAGCCGTGGGCCCCGCCACGTGCGCCGGCCGCGCAGCGGTCCCCCGCAGCGGGTCCCCCCATTGGACCCCCGCAGCGGATCCCCGCGGGGCGAAGGCGGGAGAACATAGGGGAGAGCGAGCGAGCCCGAAGATGCGGGGGAGACGGGGCAAGCAGCAGTCAAACCCGGTCTTAAAAATTGCTCTTCCCACATTGCAACCCCCCTCCGCCCCAAGCTTGAACGTGAAGGGCAGCTATCACATTTCCAGAAGCAGAACTGAAAACCCTGCGCAGAGCAGTGAGGTGTCTGCTGGAGAGAAAATGACAGTTCCCAGGCCGCTGCGAGAAGTTCGTGGAGGGGCGGCGGTTGTGCCCCTTGGGTTAAGCTGCCCTGGGCCTCGCTGTTGGAATCTGGGCTCCTCCGCTTGCCATGCAGCTTCCCGCCAACGCACACCTGGGAGGCGGCAGGTAATGGCCCAGGGGCTTGGGGCCCTGCCACCCAGGTGGGAGACCCCATGGCGTTCTGGGGTCCTGGCTTGGGCCCTGGCTGTTGTGGGTAGCTGGGGAATGAACAGGTGCATGGAATATCGCCCCCACACCCGCCCCGTCATTCTACTTCCCAAGTAGGTGAAAAATAAACATTAAAAAAAAGTAACGGGAAAAATGGAACTGAAAGAGAAGTGTATTTTGGTGCAAACGCTTTCAAGCCACGCATAATTTTCTCATAACATACGTTTTCCATGAACTCGCTGAAGACCCCCTTGTATGTGTGCGGTTTTTGAAGATTTTGGCACCAAAATAAACATCGTTAAATTCCTTTTGCCTGTGAAGATTCTGAAGCGCCTTCCTATGAAGGGAAACTGGCGTGGGTTTGGGAGGAAGGAGGTTAGCGCGGTCCCTTGCCGAATGGGCGCTCAGACCTCTGCTTCCTGTTTGGAAGCCTGCCGAGGGAGCAGGGAGCACGGTCCGGGTCTCGCGCGGGCGGCAGGGACTCAGGCACTGAGCCGTCCTCTGGGGCCTCACAGTGTATGCTGTGTCAGAGCGGGAGTCGGAGCAGAGAGCAGAGCGCAGGTGCTCCCGTGCGGACACGGACAACGCAACCAGGGGGCGCAGAGCCTGCTCCCTATCTTTTATACATTGCGTATTCCCCCAAATCAGCTGAGATGCTTACACGTTACCCACGTCGCCCTTCACACACCCCTAGATCCTGCTTAACCTTGCCCCTCTGGATCGACAGAGGGTGGGCAACAGGAGAGGACATTGTACAGTACCAGTCCTCATCACGGCCAAGTGCACGGCCGTGCCCTGCAGGTGCTACCGTTGGCATGGGCTAGGCTCTACATTTGCATGGGGTTCCTGAACCTTTAAGCAATGCACTAGTCTGAATGAGAAGTACCCCGAAGATGTATCTGTACACATAAAGCATTTGTGTGGGCGGTGTAGGGAGTTGCACCACCTGCAACACTAGCATCCCACATAGATGCCGGTTCGAGTCCTGGCTGATCCACTTCCATTTCAGCTCCCTGCTGATGCACCTGGGAATGTGGTCCAAGTGCTTGGGGCCTTGCACCCATGTGGAGGACCTGGAAGAAGCTCCTGGCTCTTGGATTTCACCTGGCTCAGCTCTGGCCTTATGGCCATCTGGAGAGTGAACCTGCAGATGGAAGCTCTCTGTCTCTTTCGCCCTCACTCTATAACTAAAGCATTGCTGCATCCACAGTGAAAGGTGTTTCGAGAGCCTGGGACTTGCTTTGGGTCTCACAGGGCCTTGGGGGGCATTCCTGGAAGCGCCAGCTGTGAGGTCCCTAAGTTTTCCAGCGCTCCCTTCAAGAGGATGATGGTCTTTGGGAGGGTAGCTCTCAGATAGCGATTTTTAGATGTGTTTCCGGGAATACTTTCAGATCTTAAACTTATAGATGAAAATGTTAGTGACAAGAAGGGTCAGACAGGACAATCCATAAGCACCACTTCCATTAGGATTAAGAACTGAATTTTGGGGGTCAGCCCTGTGGTGCATGAAGCTGCCGCCTGTGGTGTCAGCATCCCATATGGGCGCTGGTTCTAGTCCTGGCTGTTCCACTTCGATCCAGCTCTCGGCTATGGCCTGGGAAAGCAGTAGATCATGGCCCAAGTTCTTGGGCCCCTGCACCCATGTGGGAGACCTGGAGGGGGCTCTAGGCTCCTGGCTTCAGATCAGCGCAGCTCTGGCTGTTGCGGCCAACTGGGGAGTGGACCAGTGGATGGAAGACCTTTCTCTCTCTCTCTCTACCTCTCTTTCTCTCTTTGTAACTGACTTTCAAATAAATAAATAAATCTTTTTTTTTTAAAAAAAAGGAACTGAATTTTGGTTTTGTTCGCTCAGCAAGCACAGGTGTCTGAAAATACCCTGTATGCCCCCATCTGGGTGGCGAACCCTGCACACTGCCAGCTTTGCACTGAGCCACAAGGAATCCATGCCACCCATAAGCAATGGAGATGCTATTACTGAGAGCCAAGGTTTCTCAAACCTAGCAGATCCAGGAGTTTGCAAGTTTCAGACAAAAAAAAAAAAAAAATGAAGAAGTGCTTGCCTGAAAGAGCGCAGGGTGGGAGAGCTGTCTGGGAAAGCAGTGGGAGGGTGGGTGCTGCGGCATAGCAGGGTGGGCACCTGCGTAGGTCCTGCACCCCACACTGAGTGTCTTCGACGGAGTCTGCCTCCGCCTCTGCTTCCCATGCAGCTTCCCGCTAATGTGCCTGGGGGCGGGGCGGGGTACAGCAGCCCCAAGTACTGGGCCTGCCACCCACATGGGAGATCCAGATGAAGCTCCTGGCTCCTGGCTTTGGCCTGGCCCTGTATATGTGTATGTATGTGTGTGCATGTGTGTGTGTGTGTGACTTTTTTTTTTTTTTAACAAATAGAATAATAAAAACATGGAAAAAACAGAGCCAAGGGAAATGAAGCAAGGTATAATTAAAATAATAAAGGCCACTTTAATGACGTGTAAGTCTTATTCCACTTGCCTCTTTAAAAAAAATTAGTAAGGGACTGGCTAACCTTCCACCTGCAGCACCAGCATCCCATATGGGCGCTGCTTCTAGTCTTGGCTGTTCCACTTCTGATCCAGCTCTCTGCTACGGCCTAGGAAAGCAGTAGAAGATGGCCCAATTGCTTGGGTCCCTGTACCCACATGAGAGACCCAGAAGCTCCTGGCTTTGGATTGGCCCAGCTCTAGCCATTGCACCATTTGGGGAGTGAACCAGTGGATAAAGCCCTCTCTCTCTCTCTCTGTAACTCTACCTCTCAACTAAACAAAACCTTTAAAAAATAAAAAAATTTTAAAAAAAGTGAAAGAACTAAAGGGAGGTCGAGGTAGATTCATCTGGGTTTTGAAGGGCAAACTAAGATTATTTCTTTAACATGTACTACAAATAACCCATCCTGACCTCCACTACAGTCACCCACTCACTGAGCACAGCACTATAAATAAAATCCGGCACTGTGGCTTTTCTTCAGGCTGTGACTAGAGCCGCATGCCATGTCTGTTTTAAAAAGAGGTCTCCAGCATCCCATGCGTGAGATCCTGTCATCACCGAACTCACCTATGTGAAGACTTTTTAAGCGATTACCCCTATCATTGTCTACTACTGCATTAGCTTTTCATTATATAATAGGAAACTGGCTATAAATACATCTCCCCAATGTGAGGAGAAAGGATCCTACCTACATCCTGTGTTACATCACCAGCTGCAGCGTGCCAACATAACAGCTCACATACTTATCTCAAGAATGCTCTTCTGATCATACCATTGCTCCCCTCCTGGTCCTTATCACCACAGCCTGGGCCTGTGTCAACCAAACATGGTTTATAACCCCGTGTTCATAATTACTGCATTTCAGAGAGCTTCCAGGAGGCCGCCCTCCAACTCCCTTTCCCCAGCACCCTGGTAAGTGGATGTGTGGCGCCCGCCCTCTGCTGGTTTGAGCTCCCGGGGACACCAGGAGGGTCACACAGAGCCAGCAGTAATTTTTTTTAAATTTATTTGAAAGTCAGAGTTACACAGAGAGAGGAGAGGCAGAGAGCGAGAGAGAGAGGTCTTCCATCTGCTGGTTCACTCCTCAATTGGCTGCAATGGTCGGAGCTGGGCCAATCTGA